TTTTTGTTCCACAATGTTTTTTCGCGGTGTATGTACATAAACATTTATACTCACTTGGTTCATGAACTGGCCGGCTGTCGACATTCTGGTGCCACAGAGCAAGTCTGCACATGTGACATAGACCGCAGATGAATTGAAGCACGTCTTGCTCGTATGTATGAAGCCACCAGGTCCAGTGTTTATATATTTAATCCTTTTTAAAGGATCTATATCGATTAATTGAAAATAAGGTGGTCTGAAATAAAAATCGCAACTAAATTATTTTTCCTAGGCAATACTAGTTTTAAGGTTAAAATTTTAGAAACCTTATGATTAAACCCGTTTCTCTACGACATGCATCGTGGGCCCACATGTAAGGGTTTTTGCACACCGGATACCAAGTTCCTTTAAAATTTCTATGCAGGAATCCTTCAATATTCGAAACAGGAAATAACTGAAAACATAGATTTATTTTATACATTCTGTTAACAGTAGTAAATATTTATGATAAATATAACATTTCCTATCTTCATGTTTCTTACCTGTTTGTTATGCAAGCTTGGCGTAAGTAAGCTGCAGTCAATTTCGTCTTTACGATTAGGACAATCAGCTATGTTATCACATCTTTGTTCTTTCGAGAAGCAGATATTTCGAGATCTTTCATCTGGATCCTCGCAGCTAAACATATTCTCTTTACAACCTTTCAAATGATATGTGATATTTCATTAATTGTTAATAACAAATACTCAAGTTATTTAATTAATGATTTTAGGTGCTTACCGTTACATCCCATTTCATCTTCACCGAAAGGACAATCAAAATATCCGTCGCAAATTCTAGATTTATCAACTCTAGACTTACAACTGCATCGCGCTTCGTCACTTACATCTGTACAATCAACCATTCCATCACACCATTTGCTGTTATCAATACATGTCTCACCGTTTAAACACGAAGTTGTTCCTGGCATGCAATTTGTATTCGTTGGTAATGAAGCATTGAGTACTTCTGTCGAAGTCTGTTCTGATCTGTAATATATGTAGTCAATTCATGACTCTTATTTATGACCATAGGGTATCAGGACCACAAAGTATTTTCTATGTCACAATTTAACTTACTTTGACAGAAATTGCATCGCAATTTCAACGTCTTGTGGATGTAAGCCATGTCTTCGCGATATTTCAACGTGTTTATAAATCGGATGGTTTAGATAAGGACTAACGTATCTGAAATACGTGAAATAACAGTTAAATAAAATAATTTTTACTAAATTTAAGTAACTTAGATATCGATAAATAAGTACCTTGAGTATTGCAAGGGTGATGCACGATTGAAATCTGAATCTTCATTTACTCCTAAAACATTAAAAAATATCTATATCTGATTTTTCTTTATAATTATGTGTAAATATCAAAAAAGTTAATCGACATCACAGGGGACCGAAGAGCTGGGGCAAAGAATTAGTATAGCTATTCAAAAGGGGAACGCTACCAGTATCTTCGGAAACTTGCCTAAAGGGACTCTTTTTAATAACATATTTTAGTTATTTATTCGTTTATAGTCGTTATTTAATATCATTGATATAATACTCATTTCATTAATATGATATACATACCATCTGGTTGTGGGTAGCTTTTTTTCAAAATACTTCCTAAATGACAGCTAGTAATATGTTTATTACGAGGATGTTTATTTTGTAGGAGTGATTCATGATCGCCTATAGGTGTATGTTCTTTTGACTTTTCATGACTTTGGTCTACAGTTTCTCGTTTATTTATTTCTGTAGAACTAGCTTCTATTTTCGATTTACTTTGTTCAATTATTGATTTGTCATTTTTTGTTAACTTTTCTAGCTTTTGTATTAAATCTTTGCATACTTCTTTGTGATTTTCTTCATTGCAATGTATATTATGTTCCTTGATTATTCGTCTCGCTTCCCATATTTTCGATTCGTCGAATGTAACATGTCTTTTGCGACTATTGCTTTGTGTTTGTTTTAAAGCCTGCCTCTTTTTACGTTTTCCAGCATTTATTGTTTTATTTCGAAGTCTAAGATAAATTTCTACGTCATCTTGTATTAATGTAATGTTTGAATTATCTTTCATTTCAGATACCAAAATTATTTCGGACGTTGAAAAGTTAGCTAAAGAAAGCGATAAAATATTTAAATTTATTTATTCAATGAATTATGAGAAAAAACACAATATATTAATATGTCTAATAGTTTTATACTTACAATCACATTGCAACCATTTTAATATAAAGAAATATGTACATGTTATCATTAATGATATTACAATTATAGCAATAAACTTTTGTATTGTTGAATATATGCATCTGTAGTCGATTTTCCGACCTGTGAAATATGCGTTAAAATGAAAAAAAAAAAAAAACATCACTAAATTACATTATATACTAGCTGTCATCCGCTATTACGTCCGCGGGGAATTAAAGAAAAAAACTAAATAAGTAGCCTATGTGTTCTTCCAGATTATACATCTAAGCCAAATTCCAGCGAGACCTGTTCAGTCGTCCGGTGATACCTTCAAATATCCATCCATCCTTCTTAACATTCACATTTATATAATAATATTACTAAGATCATCAGCTACTTATATTTATTCTATTTCAATACACATCTAAATTTATACAGAAAATCTGATAGTTGATCACTTGCATAAAAATGTTTTAATATTATAGAAATTTATGTATGTTATTCGTTATCAGAAATAGAAGATTATGGGTAGAATTGTTTGGTTAGTGTATAACGCAGAGCTTCAATCAAAGGAACTCAATGAAAAAAGTAATACAACATTTTTACTGGTTTCTGTATGTAAATTTAATCCAGGAGCTATTATTCGTGAGAAGAAAATTTACATGACATAATTTAAACGAATAAGCCTTTAGCATTTACTACCTCTTTCATTGGACTCCGCTAATTCCATCGGAAGTAATCCAGCTTGAGTATTGATTGGTGGTATTTTATTGTTTTCAATCATATTTAAAGAATAGCCGTAGCTTTGATCCTGTAAAATAATATAAATTATACACTAAAATATGTCTCAATCTTTACAAGGGACTAATCATTTTGTCGTCTGTGCTAACAACACATCAAGATGAAAGAGTCTAATATAATTTTTAATTATTAGATGAAAGTTTAGAAATTTAAAGTTTAAATTACCATATCATTTTATTATAAATTTAGTCTATTTTTGATTTTAAAAGTTTTACACTAACATATAAAATGGTAGTCGAATTAAATAGAGCGAGCACAATAATTGAATATAGCGTGTTTCTCATTCAGTTATTGACAATGAATTAGAGCCATAACATTCAACGAGATGAGGCTCATATCAATAACATGTCGCTTTATCATATCGCATGTCTTCTAAGAATTGTTCGTATGTTATGACGTAATACCTCGACCATTGAAAGCCTATTTTTACCCGTACAACTACTAAAGGTCAAATAGAAATTGTCGCTAATCTACTAAATTAAACAGTTTTAAAAACAAAACTTTCAACAGGCTAACCGTAAAAAAAATATTAATTTTATTTCAATAAATATATGTTAGTACTGTGGTATTGGTAAAAGCACGTGGCTCGACTTTACTCAGATTATGGTTAAAGTTTCAATAAGCCTTTAAGACAAACAAAGGAAAAGGTTTTTAGAGTTTTTTTAAACAGAAAACTTAACATGATCGTTGACTAAGAAAACTAGTAGCCCGTCTTATACTACACTAGCTGCCTCCCGCGACTACGTCCGCGCGTAACTAAATAATAAACTTAAATAGTAGCCTATGTGTTTTTCCAGGCTATGTCCTACATCTATATCAAATTTAAGCGGGATCCGTTCAGCCGTTCTGGAGATACCTTCAAACAAACATATATTCATCTATCTAAACATTCGCATTTATAATATTAGTAAGATTTCATCTTATCGCTATCATTTGTTTTACATATAACATTTATAGAAATAAAACTTACTTAATTACTTATCCAATAGAATTTACCAATTTAATATATTGAAGCACATTGTCAATTGAATTAATAACGGTCACTGCACTGCACAACTTCACTCCAGTAACTGATGTGCTTTCGTTAATTGTAACTCTACAAAATGCTAAAAGCGCATTGTAAGCATTTTTGTTAGTTCGCAGTAATAATACAAATGACGTTTGCTAATTTAACAAAGAATATTAAGGTTAGCGCATCACCAATTGAGTAAAATAATTCTAACTTTATTTTGTCTTTATTTTACTGCAAATCTATATTAAACTACATGTAAATAATTTCATAAACTAAATATCCCACGTTCAATGCGATTATTGAACAAGCAAAGGTCAAGTTTTTCACGAATACTTCTGACTTTGCATAATAGAGCAAGCTATTCAATAATATACGAACCCAATTAATGAAAAGCTTTAACCTTAAAAAGTTTGTAAAAAAAAACTAATAAAACTCCATTCCTTCCTATTTAAGTTATAGTATAAGAGATTAGTTATAACTTTATTGTTGAGGATTTTTCTACTAAATCGAAATAATACAATGAATATCTTTCAACATGTCTGAATTCCGAGAATAATTACTGGCGCTAAAAGAATTTGCATGACCCGTTGGAAAGGAGCCTCTTGAGATGCAAAGTGTATGTACCTACTTTGTATAATACTTTGAAATGCTGTTGGAACTAAACATGAAAATAGTAAATAACCAAATTTTTAGTCTCCAAATATTAGTAAATTTCACATTACACTGTCATTACCACGACGAATGGATTAATTTGATTATTAGAGTATGAGGTTTCGCTAATACAGTAGAATAAGTCTATGACTTTGAGGAAGAAATAACACAAATTAAAGATTACTAGTGCATCAAATACCAACGTATGGTCATCAATTGACATGATTTGCTTCACGGTCACTCGGACAAGTCTACGCTTTCTGTATCAATGGCTACCATATAAAATATAAGATTAAACCACGCATTTCATTTATGTGTAAACCTCGTAGCAAGAAGTTTCATGTATTAGCAAAGTTTGTTATTGAACTTAAATTGTTTTAATTTACGACTTTATTTGATTAAGTGGTAAGTGTGAACATTATTTAAATTAAGGATTAACGCGTTAATCTTTTTATAATAAAGGTGGTGCTAATTAATGTTAGTTTACGGGCTTTCGATAATTCTATTACGTTAAGAATTTAGTTAGATTAAACCTATGGTTAGATTCTTTGTTGTCCTACAAAACTTTTGTTTTAATTTTATGTGACTTATTAAAGAATAATTATTAAAATTTAATTTCCAATGTAAGTAAGGCAGTGAGGGATGTCAATTCGTATTTTAATTTTAACAGAGAGCAAATATGCGACGTATTGTACTCGATTCGTTGGCAAATATTCCTACGCTTAAGAATTAAATAAATGTAGACATTGTTTCTTGAAAAGTAATTCCAGCAAGAACGAACGAATTCATCATTTTAATGGAGTTATGAACTCAAGTAGAAATTTTGTTTACAGTAATTATTTATTTTCTTTGAGCTGCTTACTGCTTTGTTCTTTTGATGCTTAGCTTTTTAACGTTATTATATTATAATATAATTGTTAATTAATTAAAAAATGACTCACTGACACTCTGAGGTACGAAACGAATTACATCTTATACAAAATAAATAATAAATAAATGAAAAAAAATCAAACTTGCATAAAAAAACATACGTACTCGCGAAATCATTACCAGTCTGACACACAGGAAAAGATTACAGAGTCACAGAAGCGTTTTTTTTTTTAAGCTAAAATTTCTTTACCTTGTCTATATTTAATGCATGTAAAGGACCATACGTTTTATCGGTAAAAAAACACTTCACAAAATAAGGTTACATAATTTCATCGACAGCCATCACTTTCATATCTGTATATGAAAAATGGAATCGTTTCTTCTTACATATGATAGTGGAGTGTATTCGAATCAAGGGTAAAATACATTTATTACTAACATTTCAGCTATTGATAGATGAAAACGCTTTATTCTTGTCACCTATAATGTATTTAATGAAATGAAAGTATGCAATTTCTAACTTGAGATAATTTTTATTACTTTCCTTGTTAATTGCTCTGGGAAATAAGGTATGTCTAATCTTGTTTGACGTTTATAACAGTAATTAGCTATCGCCCGCGGCTCCAACCGCGCGGAATTAAGAAAAAATCTTTATAAGTAACCCATGTGTTCTTCTACACCATGTTGTATCAAGTTTTAACGAGATCCGTTCAGCCGTTCTGAAGATACATTCAAAAAAACATCCATACATCCATCTAAACATTCGTAATTATAATATTATTCTTATTCATTTATTAACCTTATTCTTAATATATTACATTTCATATATAAAATAAAAAAATATACAAAATATATTATATTAAAAATAGAACACCACCGGCTGCAGAGTCCCATGAGTCAAACAACCAGTGGTCAGTAATTATAATATTAGTATGATTTAAATATAAGTAAGTTATTGAAGTGTACATGCAAAAGTTAAGTACTGTCTACTATTTATGTCTTTTGATTTTAGCTTGTATCATCGTAGCCTGGCGAGACATGTTCCATACCATATCTTTATGAATTACGTGACAGAACATTCAATTAATATGAAAATACATCTCAGTTTGCTTCTGGTGTTTGTACTATTGAGTAGTTGCTATGGCAACAAAACTGATGATTCCGATACATATTTAAGCCATTTCATAGCGGATTTATGGCTTGAAGGAACTGATGTTTTAAAAATTATTTGGAGAGATTGTTCTAAGAAGGTACGTAGAGAAAGCTTTGCACAGAGATTATCAGAAATTCTAATGGTTCTTTAATAGATGTAAAAAAAAATGCTGATGGAATAATTCTCGAATACATTATCGTAAAAATAAATTTAAAATTCAGCCTCTGTATTTTCAAACGGTAAGGCGCAAATATTAAAATTCAGAACAAATGTTTTCATATTGGCCCTGCTTAATATTACACAAAGTTTGTTAAAGATTTTTACAGTTTTGTTGAATTTGGAGTTCGTTTATTAAATGAAGTAAAGTAGATTGTATTTTTTTATGATATTACTGAATTTTCTTTTTGTATTTCTTTTATCGTTTTAATTAGATGTACTAAGATAATTCTGGAAGTATCTTTTATGAGGCGTAAACAATGTTTATTTCGATCATACGTACGTCTCTTTTAACTCTGATAATCAACATTCAGTTGAGCAATAATTTGCTTGGCCAACAATCAACAAAACTAATCCTAAACAAAATACTTTAGCTTTGAAAAGATGAAGACATTTTTAATCGTTTTTTTTTTATAATGTATCAAAAATTATTTTTTACTGGTAGATAAATAATAACATTAAGAATATACAAATATTATTTTTATATATGTTTAATTAAATTATAAAGATATAATTTAATTCGAATCGTATTCCAATGGTAGGATTTCTGTTCCAAGTACAACAATAATATTTCAACATCCGTCTCTAATACGGATTCGTAGACTCGTGCGTCATTGCTTAAAAATTACTGAAATAAAATTTTTAATCCTTGAAATTGGTTTTAAGGATTCCTTGCGACATCGCTAAGTCGCTATTTCACCAACTTTGTGAAGACCTTCTCGTTTTCTATTGTGCAACTAAATTTGTCTCAACGTGACTTTGATTTAAAAACAAAATTCCGTCCAAGGGATTTAGAAACCTAACAAAGTTTTAAATTCTGCTAAGTACTTAATTGAAATTGCCAATTTCATTTAAGTTGCAAGTAATATGTACATTTCGAAATGATTAATTATTTGTACGGTATAATTTGATACCAATATCTGTTCCCACTGCGACCTTTACAACATAAATTTGACTTACAAATTCAGGTCATTATTGTTACAACAATGTTGACTTTGCCTGAGTTAATGTTGAATTATTAATAAATTTTCCAGTTGGTGGATGTAAAAGACGGTGTCGACCGTAAAGAGTACTTTCCCAAGTTCCTAAGATGCTTGAAAAGGAAAACCCTAAGGGCTTTGGATCGGTGCCTTAGTTCAGACATTGTACCGATAGCCGATGGTGTGAACTTAGTTAGATTTGAATTGGTTGACGGATCTGGAAATACGATGCCCATAAATAGTACCAGGTAATTGAACTATTTAGACTGTTCGTCACCCTTGAATCGGAATGCTAAACGCGTGCTGAGTGACAGGCCAAGCTGAGGTCTTCCATCTGGAGCCCTTTAGCTCAGTCACTCCATGGTGTGTCTACCGAAGCGACCTAAGAGCTTAGCGGCCTCCAAATCGGGTAATAATAACGAAGTACCAGCCCCAGCCGAGGTTTCTGATGGAGCACTTGTGTCTAGGCTCCCGGTCACCTCACGCCTGGCAAAGCTGTAAATGACGTTATCAAGGCACAATGTCACAAGAACTTTTTGCCTCTCTGTAAAAGATCAGTACCAATATGTACCTAAGACCTAGACCTAAGCAGATGTCTTCCTTTCACCTATACCATATAGCCTGAAGTTTGTTAGCGATTTAATTTTCTAAATTGTCTATTTTGAGTCATACCGTAAATTGTTCTGTTATTTCATATCTTTATTTTCTGTGGATAAATAACAGTTTTTAAACAAATTGTGTTGACTACAAGAAACATAATTCAATTTAGACACCTTTATTATGAAGTTATTGACCTGCACGTTATGCTTACATCGTTTATTATGTAGGTTTCATATTAAAGTTGCGCAAACGAGTGCTCCAGTTACACAACTGTCGCGAAACAATGACAGTAGGAATTCAAAATGACCACATAAGTAAATCAGTCAATATAAAAAGACTTACCTAGTTGTTATAAAATTAATAATATTTTTTTAAGATCACACAAAACATTAAATGACAACAGACGTTTTATTTTCTTTGAAATAAAACGCTATACAATTATATCTATGAAGTAACAATTGTGTCTTATATTTACAGTCCATGGACCGATAAAGAATTAGAAGCAGGAGAATGGCGTACACTTGCTCTTAAACGTATTGCGAAAATACTTCGGACACATGTTGTTAAATTTGATTTTGATGACTCAAATATATTTGATAAAGGTAAGCTGATTAATTATAATCAATTAACCTCAAAAGTAAAACAATACCAAATAAAAATGGTAATTAAATCATTAAAAAAATGTTGTACAAGATTTAAATTTGGTTCTTCAGTTGAGTCGCGCGGACGCCGTCGTCATCATTTGATGACAATGATGATGTTTGGGATCGTTTCTATTGGAATGGTTCTTGTACCAATGGGATTTCAATTTCTTGCCGTTTTGGGAGGCAAAGCTCTTGTTCTAGCAAAAATGGCACTTATACTTGCATCCATTCAGGGGCTAAAGAAGGTAATTTTTATTGATTACTTTGTTAAATTATAATTTAAACCTTAATCTAATAAATGACTAACGCATGAAACATGTTTATGCGATCTAACAAAACTAACCCTAATATAAGATTAAACATTCTCTTTTAGGTAGAGTCTAGTTTTGATGGGTATCATGACAGGGGAAAGGTATGACTTTATAACAAACATTCTATCGCTTTTTAATTTTTATTTAATAATTAAAATTATATATTAAATAAAAAATAATACACACTAATTCAAGCTTTTAGCACCTACTAAACTATCACGATGATAACGTGATAACAGATGTTCTGTTCCAGATTGCTTCTAGTCCGCTGAATTATGGATTCTATCACACATACCCCTACGAGCATTACGAAAGGAGAAGCCTGGATAATTTACCTTTGACAAACATTGTCCCAACAATCATACAAAAGGAAATAGCAAGTCCGTGGGCGAAATCTGAACATATAAAGTTAGATGAACTAAAGCAATATAAAGAACAGTCTGAAGATAATATCATTGATGTCATACAAAGTACAAATAATATTAAAGAAGAACAGAATTCTGAAGCAAAAGTTTTCCCTATTTACCCTGGAACTCAAGCAGGGGAATTAAATTTAGACGTTTCTAATCCTGTCGTAGATTTATCGGCCAGGCCAGGGGAAGTGCAAGCGGATTACGCTTTAGAATTGCCGTATAACAGACTACGTTTTCAAAGTCCCACTTCTGTCGTTTCATCTTGACGTCTTCGTAAGATTATTTCAAGCATTAATTAATGTTGTTTCTAATATTTATTCATATTTTACTCAAGTGTTATATCCGACTAGACATGTATTTTATAATATTTATTAAGAGTTAATAAAATTAGTTAAACTTTGCTTGTGTTTTAATAAGTAGCAGTGATTTGGCTTTTTTATATTATAAGGTGGCAAACGTGCAAACGGCCAACTATTCGTCGAAATAGCGAAACAACCTCTATCCATAGAAATGCTACAATTTCATATTGCCTGCCTTTAATCGATGAAGTAGAGAACGCATAGTACAAGGATAAATCTCTTTTCTATGCGTTTTCTCCTCCGAATTTCACTTCCCTTCCTATCATACCTTATAAGAAATTCCTTATAAGAAAAGGGTCGCAAGGGTACGTAAACTAAATTTAGGCCTCCGGCATGCACACTTGTCAAATGGAACGCGGAATTGCTTCCACTTCACGCATGTCTTCTGTCTGCTCGGGATATTTCCTGACAGATATTATTGTGGCAGGCAGACCATTATGAAACTTAAATTATACTTTCTAGACTAATCTATATTTTGCCAATTTTCTTAAACAGCATGTCCCAAAATTCAACAATAAGCCGGTACTCGTATATAGCCAGATCGATAACTAGATAGGGAAAAATACTAAAAAAACTATATATATATAGATTGACTCATTCATCATCAGATTATTGTATTATACGTCCCCGCAGAGGGACTCGGAGACTATCCTTAATTAGGAGAAACTAGGCCTTAATGAACCACACTGGCCCAGTACGGGTTGGTTTACTTCAAACATATATTTAAATTTCTTCGAAGATATGTGCAGGTTACATTCATGTATAGGTTGAATACATTGCAACAATTACATATGAAGTTGTTAAAAACTTAAAATGAAAAGAAATACTCATAAATTAAATCAATAACAAAGACTATAAAACTTAAGTGCTCAAAGGTTATTATACTCTGGGAGTAAACATAACGTTATCCATTATCGCCGATAGTAATAAACCTAATATTCAAGAAACAGTTTAAACGATCGGCTACACTATAGAGGAGAAATCATAAAATTAAGTAACACGGAAAATTAATATCAAATAATCAAATTGTTAAACGTTATCATTTAAAGTATCAAATCAAGAGAAAATTGTTTGAATTTGTCTTCACAGTCAGCAAAATTATAAATTGACTAATTAACTTTAATTCGTCCTGAAATAATCATCCGTTTGCAAAGGTTATTATTCAATCTAGTAAGCAATTCTCCAGACATTTTGAATTTTAACAATAAAAGTTTATAAATACTTTTTGGTTGTAATATAAAATTTAAAATTGCTTTTTCCTATAATAACTATAGCTGCAATACAAATTACGTTTAAACTTTGTCATTTAAGATTTATGTACATTTGAGATTTTGAGAAGGTTTAAGAAATCCGTTCATATAGACTTATCATACTTTACGTTTCAAAAGTAATTAAATTGATAAGCATAAGTTAAGAGACTTCAAAAGAACACGTGTAATTCATTATTACTAACTTTATTAATTTATCCTATTAATATTAGCAAGAAAGTTGTAAAGTTATCCGCACCAAAGTTCGTTGCAGTCGCACTTGCAAAGTAAAATCACTTTAACACAAAACTTTATATTAAATTGCGAAAGTTCCATATATACTTTTATATTAAAAATGTATTGTACATAGACAGTTTATTATAATAACGATAAGGCAATTAAACCCATTGAAAACCAAAAGAAAACTACAGGTAAATCCTACTTATCTTACTAATATTTTACATGCGAAAGTTTAGATGAATGGATGGAAGGATGTTTATTAGAAGGTATCTCCAAACTACTGAACGGGTCTTGATGAAATTTAGTATAGACGTAGAACACAGTATGAAAGAACACTTAGCCTTCCTATGATCCTGTAAATGTGTACCATCCCCCTGGTTCATATATTTAATTGTTTGGCTCAGATATAGAACATAATCTCTAGTTACACATGAGATACATTTCTTCCTTTTAAAATAAAACACTAATGAAACTAAAGAAAATATAATGTTCTTGATCCTCTTAGTTACAGAATTCTTTATTAGTATAGTAGTTTTAAATCATAATATTTACGTAAACTGCTAATCGCCTCTACTAAATGAGTATATTACCTTTACTAGGAAGCGTCAAGCGTGAAATGCTGACAGTGACGAAAATCTAGTTGCCTCGTCGCAAAAATTAAAGCGACTTAAATAAAAACAAATAGTTCCTATAGGTTATTAAATTAATGTTTAACTTAATACAAATGTAATGTTAAAGACAGAAAGGAAATGTTTCATAAAAAAATAATTAAAACCAGTTTTACTATAATAAATGAAAAAAGAAATGGTTTTAGACTAAAATTATCTAAAAGGCAGTTTTATCTTGTATGCATAAGTACAAACAAAATAAAATATTTAATACCAGTTAAGAAGTAAAGATTTATTTATTAATTTCGGTAAACTCCGCGCCCTGTCGCCCGCGACTCCATCCGCGTGGACATATAAAAAAACCATCCATCCACATCACATCCATCGAAACATTCGCATTAATAATATTAGTAAGTTAAATAAAAAGCAGCTCTTCAAGGCATAAATTCTAAAAAAAATTATTAATAAATGTCCTATGTCCGTCTCCTGGCTCTAAGCTACCATATCACCAATTTTCAGCCATATCGGTGAAGCCGTTCTTGAGTTATAAATAGTGTAACTAACACGACTTTCTTTCATAAATATATGTAGATAATTCTTATACAGAACAATAGCTTTTTTTTTTAATTTTAGTAGTTCCTTTTACCTTCAGAAAATAGGTCCAGAACGTCCGCACGTTAATTATGTGCGCTGAGTTGTGTTGTACGATCTGCGGATTACGGTACCAGAGAGCTTAAAGCTTGCTTTGTTGATTTTCTCGAGCGCACAAACTTTAAAGGACCATTGTTTTGATATTTAAATCAGTAAGCTAGCAATTATTCCTTAATAACAGATTAAAGTTATAAGTCGTTAAGCTTTTATTTTAATATAGTTGTCGTCCGCGAGTTCGAACGCGCGAAATTAAGCAAGTAAATGTGATTAGTAAATTAAATTATCTATAGTTATTTAAAACAAAAACATTGATAGTTTTCGAATCATTTTTAGATTTGAAACTGGCCTTTAGAGGTTTCAAATGCTTTTAAAACGCAACCAAAAAAAACGAAAAGTTCTTATACTTTTTGAGAAAAATACTTCCTAGACTATAAATATTCTATAGTTCTTTATTATTACTTTATAGATATGTATATTTCCAATATTTTTTTTAGCGACAACTTGTTTAACTGTCGACCAGAGTATTTATATAAATTTTTGCTGTCTTGAGACTACAATAATTTATAACTCCACTGTTTCTAAGTGCTTGGTTCGCTGCTGGTTACTTTACTACATAACCAAGATGAAGTGGTCGAAAAATTAAGCGAGACAACTAAAAAAAATACATTGTCCAGTAATTTTTCCTCCCACATAATAACTAAGATGATAAAATTCTATCAAAACCTATTTAAATAAAAACTTACCGAGTTTTTCTTTATAACTATTTTAACAGCCAGGTTTACAAAGGTTTACTCTACGATTTAATTATTTTTTACAAAAAAAAGTTATTACGCTCAATAGATTTACTAATTTTTTTCGAGTGTTATTTATAACTTACTTGAACTATAAATATAGTTATTTCACGTAATATATAATCCAACATATTTTTAACGTAAGGTGAATACAATGGGCACGCTATATCGCTAACATCCAAAATATTTGCTGAATAAATACTAGATAATGATATTACGTTCATGAGACTAAGAAATGATAACATACTTACGAAGTTCTTGTATGAGAGTTGTATTAAATTAGTGTTTCCATAAAATAGTTTCGAGTTTAATTCGAGTTAGAAAATAAAGTGTGCGAGTAAATTATTCTTTTAGCAACTACGAGAAACTCGAACTCATTTTAAATGTATAAGCGCGTTAGGAAGTAATATAAGAACGTGGAAGGAAACGTGAAAGCGCATCAGAGGGTGCGCAGTAACATTTTCTGGACCTATAAAGGCTCGTGTAAGCCCGCCTCTACTCACAACTTACCCGGACCTCGCCGCTACAGCCCCTACTAGCAACCCTCGACGATTTACGGAACTTTTGCTAACATTGTGAAGTGAAGTTGTCGTACTCTACCAAAATGAGAGTAATACTTTACGCACTGGCGATGGTTGCAGCCTGCGATATTATAACTGGCCTGTATTTACCGGTAAGTTATTTTTAATTCAAATCATTTATTTATTCAAAAATATTTTCATTTATGTGTAAATTATGATTTTTTTTATTTTAACACATTACCTGAATTCATCATTTTTTTCCGTTGATTTTTGTAACTTTAATATTTTAAAATTCAATTTATTTCGTTTTTTTTGATCTTAAATTCATTTTTTTATTTTATATTTCATTTTAATATTAAATTATCACTTACCATTTAATTTTTTTAATGTACAGTTTTCTACCATTTTACAAAAGTGCGATTTTTAATAAGAAAAAAGCGGAACCGCACTTTACTATACTTATTAACGCTCCATTTAAATATCTTATTATTCCAAATATTCGAAGAAAAAACGCACTTCATATTATTAAAAGGCGTCTTGCTTCCGTGATTTAAAAAAAATGTGATAATAAACCACACATCCCGAAGTAAAATTTTTACAACTTATATTTATCGGTACAATATTTGGCAAATTATACATAATGATCGTAATAAGATTTTCATGACACAAGGCATAATGCAATAAACAAATTTTATGATAATTGTATCAGTAAAATTTGAATTCAATTACATTACTAAAATGTTTTAACCTAAGCTTAGGTTAAAAACTTGTAGAGACCAACCATTTTTTTTAAATCGAGCCGTTGACATAAGTAATAGGTTTATTAATTGACATGTTAATTATTGCAAGTTTTTATTTTTGCCGAGTTTATGACATTATCAACAGACGCTTCCGTTCGACGGATAATTTTATTTTCAAAATGACATTAGTGAATATCACTTTACATCTTAACATAGTTTTTTATATATTCTACCTGTATTATTTATTTTATAATAGGTCTAAATGTTTTGAATTTATCTTAAATTTTATTATTTGTACGCCAAAAGTTTCAAAGCTTACAGGACTCATTTAACTAAAACACTAACATACAAATCAAATATTCATACCGTATGAAGTTACTATGTTATTTTTGCTCACGGGAGTTATGAAAATACATGCTCTTAAATATACCTATATTAAAATTAATATCATTAAAAAGTGAACAAGGAATGAAGAACAATTAAAAAGATTGCTCTTCACACGAAAGCAATGTCATTTCGTCTTATCAGTTTCCAGTATTTATAAAATGGTAGTCTATTCTACAATATAGTATATTAGTTGTAGTCCGCGATTCCATCCGCGCGGAATTAAAAAAAAAACTTATTGAGTAGCCTATGTTTTTTTCCAAACTATGCTCTAGAACTAGGCGAAATTTTAGCAAGATCCGTTGAACCCTTCCCGAGATACCTTCACACATCTATCCATATAAACATTCACATTTATAATATTAGTAAATATGAAGATAAATTACTCTGTAATATTGTACATATTAATGTATTAATTGCGTAGTCAATATAGCACATGTAAATGAAAAACAGCGAGTGTTATTAAACTCAGTCTCCATGTGTGTCCACAATATTAAGCGACGTAAAACATCTAGGCGTTGTTTATTAAAGCGTAACTTGTCTACGCCTTATATGTTTGTAAATATTAAACCCTAGAAAAAAAACCTACTCTATTGCTTGGAGCTTTTAATCGTTTTTCTCCAAACGGTTAATTTTATAATATCATTCTAATGAAAAATAGTAAAATATTATATGACGACAACTGAAGTTGTTAATGGACGTCATCAAATCCATAAATCACACGAATAATAAATAAAATAAAACGTGTTTTATATAATTAGCTTATATTATGGTAGTCAATTTACATTTATTAATAAGCTCTAATACCAATAACAATGTCGCAAATTAATATAAGGTCGCTGTTTTAGTAAAGAACTTAGCGTGAATATAATAAAAAAAAATTCAATGGAAAAATAAAAGAGTTAACTGCTTCTACTTTTCATTATATCTACTCTATGAAATTATTCTTTGTTAAAATATCAAATTATTAAAATCAATTTAGTTATAGTACTTTACCTTGAGATATGACGTGAAGTAGGGAGTATATTGGCACTTGTCTCTTAAACATATAAAGTCGTCAATAAACACAAAAAAATCACATATATCTCCAATATGAACGTCAGTTTTTATTTTTTTAATTATATTTTGAAATTTTGCTAGCAAAAAATTTATAGACATTTATACGTAGATGTATGAATGTAGAAAAAGTCAGAGTGGTGTGTGTGTAACCCTTAAGGGTTAAGGATTTTTTGTTTTTGTTGCAAATTAATTAAAACAAAAATTGCAACCCGCTCTTTAATCCGCCCATTCTAGTGTAGTCAGACCCTTAAAATTTATGATACAATTTCAATGATAGTTACATAATAAAATAAATCCTAGAAACTAATTAATTTCTTCCTTTGAGACACGTCATATATTTTTAACGTCATTGCTTTTAAGTCACATGTTGTTGTAATATTTTATTAAGACACACAATTGGTATAAAAAAAGGCTACGTCATCGTCTATCATATGTTGCTTTTGGATACGTCTTTATTGATCACTAGCTGTCGTCCACGGCTCAACTCGCGCGAAATTTAAAGAAATAATAATTAGTTGCCTATGCGTTCTTCCAGACCATGTTCTACATGTATGCCAAATTACACCGAGATTCCTTGGGTCGTTTTGCCGATGTATTGTAACAAACATCCATCCATTTAAACTTTCGTATTTATAATATTTGTAGGATAATATTTAAAGATTCTGTCTACAAACATTATTTGTGTAAAAGCCATCGAGTTGTAGATAAATTTACTATACAGTTTACTCTTAGCTAAACAATATCTCAAAATAAACAAAACCACTATCTTAGCAAGAGTGAGATAAACATTGAATTCTTTTAATGCAATAAACACTCAAATTCTCAACAGATTTCTATTTATTCGGTATAAATGCTATTATTTTTTAAAAGGGGCGTTTTATATCTTTATAGCTTACATAGGTACTGTTAGGAAGAAAATCCGAAACTGTGACAGTGTATTGACGCAACACTAGCCTTACTAAAATGTCGACGGTTATGTCCCCTCACTATTCATTCTGACAATGGACTTTTTAACGAAAGCACGTCATTCGCGCCATATGATTCTAACTAATAGTGTATAAAAGCACGTACAATGTTATTGTAACATATGAAAAATACATACGCAGTTACTTAAGGGTATTCGCTTAAGTGACACGTTGCGTTGCGTTCGATGCTTTCGCAGCAATATTTCAAAGAGCGAGTAGAAAAGACTTTATAACTTGTTGCTGATCGAAGCAAAAAAGAATAAAAGAGTTGACTTTAATTTTAATGTTTTTGAAGAAATAGTAATTTACTCTATTTAAAACCTTTCCTCCAGCTAAAAACCACATCTTTAAAGTTAGAGAGCTGATTAGTAATTGCTTCTTATGTGATGCACAGAGAAAATGAGGTATGCGTAAATAAAACAATAGTTGTATATTAATACTTTGACGTCATTAGAGATGCTTAATTTAATTACATATGCAAATCTTACTTTCGTCACAGACGTGTTAATTCTCGATAAAATATAGTATTGGCGCCACACTAACCTTCAACTTAATTGACGACATTTTGCTTAATTTGATTTATTTGCTATACTATCATAAATGTAGGATTAAGTTGTCATCACGTGTTTATCTCACGTTTTTATAAGTTTTCTAACATATAGTAAGCGATTTCTTATAATGTTCTTGATTAGGTGCTTCTCCGACTTATATGTATTTTATATATGTAATTATTATGCATAAGTACTACCTAAAAACATTATTTCCCTGACTTTGTCCCACTTATGTGTGGTTGAGCTTAAGGTATGGTAAACCTTTGTTTTCTCTTAATTTTTTACGACCGCCTGCCTGTCTCCAACCTACTTGAAAATCATATATTTTAATGTATATTAATAAAAAAATCAGGGATAAAAAGAAGTGTGTAAAAGTTCTTCAGCTGTAGATACTAAAGGTTAGACACGATCTTTATTACCTTAAGAACCTCATACGTAAGTTTCTCATATTTAGATTAAAAACTTTTTTAATATTTCTGTTTTTTTTATTAGTTTATTAATTAGAACTTTCTTGCCTCTCAGGAAACCGTACAAAATGTTATGAACACAAAACTTGGTCGAAGTCTTAGCCGGGTAACGGTTTTCGATGTAAACATCGTCCGAGGCAGTAACGAAAACATTCTGAGCTTTGACTAAATTTAAAATTCACTACGAAGTTTTTATCAAATTTATTTCATATGTTAAGAGTATTCAGAGAAATAATTTGCTGCAAGGTATCTCTGGAAATGCTAAACGGATATCTTGCTAAAATTTATCAAAGACGTAGAGCACAGTCTAGAAGAATATAAATAGACTACTAATTAATTTTATTTTTCAATTACTTGCGGACGAAGACGTTGATTACAACTAATTGTACTTTGAAAAGATTTTTACGACAGGATTAATTATATTATTTTTTACCTGACGATATTAAAGAATGTAAGGTCTGTGTTTGTATGTACTACGCCTATTGTGTGATTTATTTATAAATTTTGATTGTACGACCATCTATTTTTAAAGAATAATAAAGTTGGTCCAAGCTAAATGGAAAACAAACAAGAATGTTTGTTTTTTAATTAGTGCGCTTATACTATGGACCGAAGCGTGGCGGACATTGCTATTTTTATACTAAGGCGCTGTGAAATATAAAAATTTAATAGATGTTTAATAACGACTAAAGCAATGCTATTGTGAATCATACTATCATATCATACTAATATTAAAAATGCGTATGTTTAGATGGATGGATGGATGGATCTTTGTTTGAAGGTATCTCCGGAACGGCTCAACGGATCTTGATGAAATTTGGTACAGTTGTAGATCATAGTCAGGAAGAACACATAGGCTACTAATTAAGATTTTTTTTATTCCACGTGGATGGAGTCGAGGTTGACAGCTAGTCTTTCATATAAGGGACACCCTTAGACCAACAAAGACTCTTTATATGGCACGTAAATAGATAATTGTTAAGTTTATTGAAAATCAAAGTCTTAAATATTACATGCTTGTTATTTTGTGTATCATCAAAAACTCAATATTAAAGCAATGTAAATATAAATTGACGTAAAAATTTCCTTTCATCCCAGCACTTACTTTCAATTTGATAATGTTACGAGGGACACAAACTTCATTATCAAAGGACTGTATGTTTTAATAAACTCCCTACTTACCACAAATTTTATTTATCACATTTTAAGCACCTTTGTTTAATCTATTTATTATACATTTTAAATTAATTATAATTAACAGTAAATTATGTTAAATATGTGAAATCGTTTTATTTCAAGTTAAGAAACTTTTTATACAACTTTTATTTAAGTAAAAAATAAACTAAAGGTTGGGTTGCAATTATTTTATGACATAAGGTAATGTACGAGGGCAAAGAAAGGTTACCTAATGTCGAGTGCTCTCGTCTCCAATATTCATATAAGTATATTTATATAAATAAACGGCAATTTAATAACGAATATATTATGTTTCTAATTTTAGGTAACGGCTAACAAAACTAATCAAAAAATAGAAAACATATGTTAAGTGTTATAAGATATTTTCCATAGAAATTTATAAGAATTAAAGCTTTTTCCACAGTTGGCGAGCAATCATAAATCGTTTCCTTTAGAAACTAAGTCTTTTATATGCCCATCACGTATTATTGCGGGATGATTGCGGTCGTTACATTTCAAATCACTCAGCACTCGGAATAAAATCTGATGAAAGGACTTACCAAGGCTAGTTTAAGTAAACATACAATCCGCAGCATAAGTTCATAATTATTTAATTGTACTTCACGACTCAAAGAATAAGCATTCAGAGATGTCGCACTGCGCTGCGGAAACAGTTCTCTTGAGACGTTCAACTATTTTGGTCGAATGGGTCTATGTGTCAATGTCGTGAATAGGCGAGAGAGGTGTGCCAGGACCGCGCCAAATGAAAATTCATAATATCCATCAACCTACCAGGTGACATGTGTGAGTTGTGTTTGTTGTTTATTTCATTTACTTGACCACGATGGTCCAAACATTAATTCCATATTGATAAAATGCGTATTATTCGTAAAGTCTCTACTTTAGTAATCTTAGTACTCTTAGATAATTTCTAAGGATACTTCTTAAACTAATTCGACTTTCTATTGTTTGATGGTTACTTAGGGTGATTATATTTAATTAGAGAGAACAATGGGAAAGAACTATTAAAGAGACTGTATTTAATATGAAATTTAATTAAGTTCTGAATTGCATTATAATTTATTTTTCTATCCTGTAAGTAAATATTTCCCTCTTAAATAAAATTGGGGAAGTATTTCATACGTTCGACATGTCACATAATGCTTGTAGAGGTTATTTATGTCCGTTGGCATTGACGGGCGGTCGTTGCGGACCCGTGGGTGTCAGCCTACTTACATCGTCGTAAATATGTCTGAAGCACACCCTACAGTATTAAACGTCTTAAATGTATTCCTGACATTTATTAACTAAACATGACTTAGCGATATTGACTTTTTATCTACAAGTGGTATAGTTTCTGTTGTAACGTTGTACATAAGTATAAAGACATCAATACAGTATTTTATTTCCCTTTTAAGTCTCTCATATGTTTCTAATATCAGATCTTATTACGTAATAATTGAAACAATAGATTAAAGATTAGTTTAGGAAAATTTATTTTTGAATAGAGGGGAATAAAGCCTTAAGGCACTGTATGCCTGGTGTGTCGGGCTCAGGCTCATTAGTGTTCACCTACCCTAACATGAGTCCCCTTACTAAAATAAACTCTATGGCCTTTTTGTAGTAGTTATAGAAAATATCTAATTCGTTTTAATATGAAAGTATATAAATATCTTATTAAAAGTTATTTTATTAGAATAAGGTGTTAACTTATATTAAAATATTATTTGCTTATTTTCCGGTCTACTGGATGTCGGGAGTACGCGGAAAGAATATATAAATAGGCAATCTATTGGTTAGAAGATTGAATTATGATTAGTATGCAATGAAGATAGATCAAGTTGCTAAATAAGTTATACAAAAATGGGTCTAGAAATAGAAAATGACGGTAACGAGTCACAGAATGCCTTGGGAATTCTTTATTTTATTGCTCAATTTTTATAGCATTTAGGTAATTAGTATTTATACATTATTAACCATCTGTTTTCATCGTCGTCAATTCACTGTTGGATACAAGTACTTTTCATATCACCGAGTGCAACTCTTATATTTCATCTCAATTCTCATCTCAACTTATAGGAGAATAATCTAAAGTTACAGTTAGGCAACGCTTATGCAATTGCGTATGTCTATGGGCAATAGTCACTTCGCTATTTCAGCGATTTCAGGTGACCGCTCGCTCGTTTGCCACCTTAAGTTATAAAAAAAAGTTATTTTTTGTATGTTTTCTTCTCAAGAATTCTATTATAACACTATTGATGTTAACAAAATTTACTATTACCATCCAAATGATTAGAAATTAGTTCACGTCATAGTATGACGCATGCTAAAGCATAGATTATCTTAGTTATGCACTCGTAGTTAATTTTAGAATCTTCTGCCTTTATATGTCTAGTAGACAAACATATAGAAAAAGCAAATATGAAGCTATAATACTAAATAAATAAAAGTATGTAACGACGGACAATTATTGACAATACAATATTAACAAAAAATAAATCCTACATCGTTCATATTTGTTAAGGAAAATCACGTAAACCTGTCGATAACAACCTCGTTACGAATAATAATTGAATCAATATACTTACTTTTGGAAGAAAATTACTAAGACATTCCCACAAAACATAATAAATGATAATTACAACGCAAGACAATGTCTGATTCAATAAACAATTCGCTTACAAACATATTCTATTATGTCTCATATATTGAACTCAAAATGTACAGAAATAATGGAACATAATTCTTGAGTATATTTTAGTATCAGCTAAGCTTTTTAGCAAAGGATTAACAGTGAATTTCTGTGTCCAAAATCTTCGTTTAAAAGATATTGTTACCTCTACTTTGTCCTAGATAATTTCAGGGTTGACGATATGTTTTATATAGATATTATGGTCTCAGAACTCCACGGTAAGAAGGTAATTTCATAGTAAACTCAGCATCACTTGAATGTCAAACATAAATGTGTAAATTACAAACTTCAAATTAGATTTCATGTAGTAATTACAGAATTCCAGCGCTAACTTTACTCGTGAAGTGCTCGTACACCACTCGACTTACCGGAACTGATGAGTTAACGATCGTTGGTTCGTATCTACATAAATAGGTGGCCGTTCAAAATGTTTATAAACTTCCTCTCTAAACATCATGTTTGCTTACTAAAGTTCACAAGTACCAATTAAGGCGCTAAACGTGGGTACACTAAATGCAAATTAACCCTTATTGTGGCAAGATTTCTCTTTTGAAGAAAAGCAAAAAACAAAGTTAAAAATTATTTTATAGTGATCGTACGAGTATATTTTTATAAAGTTGTATGTATGGTATGCTATACAAAATGAACATAAGGGTTAAGAAATTTAGGGTAGTTTCAAATGCAAAAATCGAGTAAAAGATTTATTTTTCTTCCTTGAATGTATTTTATTTATGTTGTACATTTAATTGAATAAAAATATTATAATTTTACAAACCATATATTTAATAAACTAAAATTGCGTATTTCTACTACGTGTGTCATCATTCTCATTATCTGTGTTTTTAGTAATGCGTAATAAGATTTCTTAGTTCTTGAACAAAAACTCAATATAATTTCCTTACGCTTAGTAAAAACATATATTAAACATAACACGCAAATTAGCAAAGGAACATAATTTTCGAAATTGATAAAATATTCATTATCGTATTGAGATGAAAGCTTAATGAATTACGTTTTGTCATCAGGGTATGGACCACCCCATGGTGAGGACCATTGAGCAAGAGTCGTCATGGTCCCCGAGAGCGCGCCGCATACCGGAACCAAAGCATCGAGTCATCGATCCTGCTGAAGGTAAGCAGATAAGAAATTAATACTAGATATCTTCAAATTTGATTTGCTAATTGTTTCTACAAAATTTTTGATATCCAATGTAACAAATTGATCCGGAATGTAGCTGATCATATGTTCATGTATTTTCTATTCTATTTAACTTTTTAGAATCTAACAGTCGTGCCTCTCTCGCCTTATAAGTTAATCGCACAATAAACAGCTAATCATTGGTTTCTGAGACCTAAATACCTGTTAAAATATACCGTCATACCTCTCATTTTCTTGGACAAAACAGAGATAACAATATGTTTTATGTAACGATTTTGGTCTCAGAAACCAACCATAAGTTATTCGTATTAATAATCAAACTACTATTTAAGTACAATGTAAAATAATTATTATTTAAAATGTTGAGCGATGCATGATTACTCATATTCGGTATACCATTTTAATGAATGCGCGTTTATTAATATTAACATAATCTCTTTACGCTCATGAATATGTAACATAGGGAAGTATCACATTACATATTCCTTCAGTTATATATTCACGCTTTCTAATTTCAAGTACCCCTGTCTCTAATAGTAGTAACAACGATAGTGTTCTCATAATTCCGAGTGTAATTTTGGTAACAGTTTAGTGGTCATTTTAAATGATTAATTTATTTATATGGTAGACTTAAAACAAGCAACAATATTAGATTCAAGATAGTTAACATACAGAAATTTACAAGGCTACATTTATAATATTGGTTTAACTAATTTGTCAGTCAACACAGGAATTATACTCATCATAGTTATTAATCATTCAAGTAATGCTACTAGGCAACTTTCAGCTAGACTAGAAGTTCCTAGCAAAATTTTTCTTTCAGTTTCATAACATTAAAAGTTTTTATTAAATTACTGAACATACTAACTATTTTTTTAGATTGTTTCCTCGTGACGTCAGACGAAGGGGAATTATTTTTCAAATCACCGTCAGACGAACCCTCTGTGTGCGGTATCTACATGATAGCCGAGCCTGACAAGAAGATACAAGTCACTTTCAACTATCTGGACGTACCTTGTGAAAATGGCGGACTAGTTGCGGTATTGTTATTTTTTTAATTTTATCAGTCAGTCTGTCAGTCTTTCATTCAATAGTTATATGTAATAAAAAAATACCTTCTTTTTTTTACTAGCACACCTCGGGTTGTTTAGTTGTGTCGAAGTAGTTTAATCTAGAATACTTAATATAATGCAATAGAAATATTTAAATGGAATGGATATAAATATAGTTATTATCCCTTACCATCATTCTAGTGGCCACGTTCACAAGTAACAAATTAATTTCAATCGAAAAAATGAGTCAATATTTATATATAGTATATATTCCAGTGGGTGGACGGCTGGGAACTCAATGGACAACTGTGGCCGGCGGACGCCTGGACCGATGAGCGGCTTGTGGAGTCCTGTGACAAACGTCCTCAGCACAAGCTGACCTCAAGCCAGAACGCCGCACTTATACAGTACAGAGTACCAGCCAAGGGTAAAGGATTTGCTGTCACCGTGCACCACGTGAAGAATACCAAACGTAAGTATAAGAACAAACTTGGTGAGATAAACAAAATAAAAACGGGTATTCACGTATACTTATTCTGTTGTGGACAGAGTCACATAATTTCTTATTACCTATTCATATTACAGTATGTATAATTTTATCTAACGGCATACCGTTGGTTTTTGAAACCAATATCTCCGTATAAAACATATAGTCACCTCTGTGATTATCTTTGAAAAACAGAGGCAACACGGGGTTTTAGGTCTCACAAAGTCACGATTACGATTTTTTTTTAATTTATGGTTATCAAAATTATTTGTTTAATTTATTGCTTAAGTTAATTTTGATGCTTTATTAATACACAAAAGAAATCATTGAGTATATTGCGATTTAAGGACTATTTTTAAGCCTTAATATTAGACTTTATAAATAGACATATTCTTAATATCATAAGTTTAACATCTACTGGATATTAAAATACTCACAATAGCTTTATTAAAACGTGATAACATCAAACGGTGAAAAATTATATAGTCGATGTACCTTTGATGTTTTGTTATATTTTTATATTACCTTAAAGATGAAAACTAATATGTTTCTGAAGGTAAAAATCATGTTTTGAATAGAATTTTTGTTCCTTTGATGTTAGCGTAGTATGTTTTTTCAATAACTTGAAATGAAAAAGTATGGCAAATTCAATCGCGCGTAAACAATATTTCAATGTTATTTTGGTATGTGAATTCATTTTTCATCTCGTCGCTTCATTGTTTTTACATGGCTACCCCCGAGAAAAATCACAACATCCGATAACCATTCAAGCGATATTTTCTTTAATTCGAATTACGTACACAATATTTTTCAGGAAACAAGAGTTATTTTTATAAATGGTATAAAAACAATTTTCTATATTCATTCGTCTATTCTATTGTTTAGTATATTCAGGGTTGTTTAGGGTCATTTTCGCTTGCCCCTTAATTTGAAAAGGTTCTAAACTGACTCCAGCAAATTGTAACTAAGGGGTTAAATTAATTTGTAAGTACACTATCGCATCAGAAAGAAAGAAAAACAAGAAGTTTTTTTTCAGCTTGCAACATATTGGTATTCGACCCGGAAGGTGTGTATACTTTACGCAACCACGGTGAACCCGGCAATTGCTCCGTATTGGCGATATCCCCCACCGCCGTGGGAGTGTTGGCCCTCGATGTTGGACAGTCCGTGAGGAATAGCCCGCTGAACCTTGAGACTGGGACTATTCATTTCGTAAGTTCTATTTTAATATTGAAAGACTTTTTAATGTTAAACGAATTGAGTTTTGATTACATTGCTTGCCGTTAAACTCGCTTGAAATTTGACAAAAAAATACATTAACAGTGAATGAATTTATTAAAGAAAATATAATACGAATATTATAGACAAAAGTATCTTTCTCCAGATATGCCTAGGAGTCTATAATTTTTTCCATTAATTTATGTTATATTAATATAATATGTATATACAATTTTATTTCAACTACTTTTGTGAATGCAATGATATAAAAGTGTTGCTAATTCTGTGTAAATTTCTATAATTATTTTCCAACAAATTTTCATTAAGTCCGCCGCATCAACGGGCTTATCCGCCCAATTAATCTTGTTAATTTTGTGGCAAGCGCTACAGTCAATATACAAATATACAAAATACTTTATGTCAATAACAATTTAATTAGATTTATTTTAACGAAATAATTACTTTGAAACTTTAACTAAACAAAATCGTTTATTTGATAATCTATATTTATTATTAAAGTAAGGAACCAATAAGAGATACTTATATATACCTTTAAAAGGAAGTAAATAGACTCTGCGATTTAATTAAGTTTTTATTTTATATATAAGAGTAGTCTTAAGTAGCCAAAAGTAAACGTTCTTACACACCCATAAAATTTATGATACAATAAAAAGGATGTAAAAAGTTCCATAATCGAGCACAATGTTTGAATGAATTCATGTACAATATATGTCCACGATAACCACAATATTATTTAGGAAAGTATTTATTTAAATAAGTTTAATAATGCATAAAATTTTCAGGCATTAATAGTGGTTAGTAACATTTTTAACCACTTATTTTGGTTACAGTCTCAATTAACCAAAATGTCAATTAATAAGTTAATTTTAGTTAACGCAATCGACCGAGACCTATCATGGTCGCAACTTAATTTAATAAACCCGTCATGAACCGTTTGCCTTTTAGCGTAACGCTGTCTATTAGTGTTTCAAATAAATTTCACTAAAGTAATAGTTGGATCATAGTTTATTTAATTACTATACACAGATAATCTTTTTAAGAAGAAAATAACAGAATAAGGAAATATTGAATGTAAACTTATATATAAACGATGAAACACTCACGTATATTCATCCGGTGGCGGCACCGACTAGTTTAGAGCCCATACGGGGACCCTTCATCAGGGTGAGTGGGACTGGTACTATTTCGCGGACGCGGCCCGTCGCTCACTCATGACGCCGATGAAGGGCCCCCGATGGGCTCGCAACTATTGGTGTCGCTACCGGACGAATATACGTGAGTGTTTAGATGTTTTTATATAAGTTTATTGAAATATTGAATGAACTTAAATTATAATAGCACACAACCAACACTCTCCTGCCAATGTGAAAAAAGTGTCGCAAGGTCCTTTTCGTACAGTAGCTTCATGTCATGAGTTTTCCTTTATGCCATTGCAATAGCAGCGCCTCTCTCGTCGGGTCAGTTGTACATATATGTGTACCTATAACGCCTAAACTAAACAGATGAATGACTAATACCATACATGATGTCCATAACAGTTTTTATAGACTGAAAATAGTAGCCAATATAACACTTACATGAGAAACATATTTTATTAACGGAAACATTTTTTAAGTACGAAATTTAGTGAAAAGTAACGAAATTTATGAATAATTAATATTCGTCGCACTATCGTGCATGATGGTTACATTTTTAAAGTTTCTAGGCCATTATAACGCTGTAAGTTCAAGATAAGCTTTGTAATATGTTTGCTTGGAAGTTCAACACCCGCTATCAGCGGTTGCGCTCTGACCTAATTCACACTTTGAAAAAAATAATGCGTTATAAAAAGCTTAAGTAAAATGCTTTAGTTAGTTGAGTTAACATACACTCAATGAAATTTAATAAATCTTGTGTATTTCTAACGTCTAGATAGAAGTTAAACGTCACTTTCCATTGCCGAAACAACTGAAGAAAAAAAATTGTTATCTGTACTTTTTCAAAGACAATAAGAGGGAAGACAACATGTTTTTGTAACAGTGTAGTGGCATTGAAAACTCACAATTAGTTTCAAATCAAGTAGAAGTATAATAATTGTTGATACAATAAGGATAAATCAGCTTTTGAGCAAACGCAGTTTTAGATGCATTTAATAATTGTTTTTTTTTTAATTTAATTATTCTATTATCATTTATACATCCTAGAACTATTCCACTTCTATCCTATATATGTACGAATTTCAAAATCAAGTCGAGTGTAATTAAAGCTGTCAAATTATCACGGCAAAATCTATCCACTTAGCGACCCTCGCCACTCGGCTTTGTTCTAAATGTCGTGAACTAGTTAGCCTGAACTACAGATAGCGTCGGCTAATGTGGGTGGCTGACCTAACAACAACACTTGCTTAAACTATTTGTTCTCTTTACTTGGAACAAATCAAGCAAATTCGCGAATTTTGTTTTCTCAAAACAATGTGTTAGGAACAAATCTTCTACTATGCTGTCTATACTATCTTTCGGCTACAAGATCACTTAACATCAGATAGAATCGTGATCAAGCGCTGACGTAAAATAAATGTAATGGAGTTCTGCTTTTTTTTAATTTCAGCTAAATTGTATCCCTTGTTTCTGTTATGGCTTAGTCATTAGTGATTTTGCATTTTAACACTATACTGCAAATTATTCTAGCAATAATCAATATGTTAGATAGAATTTAATAAGTGAAGACACTAGAAACAATTGTAAAAAAACTCTCTGATAAAATTAACCTTTAGGCCATGACCTCGTATAAATTGAAAAAGCATCTCAATTTTGACTGATTCCCATGCGTCTGATGCCCCGATGAATATTTATGTGTTTAAATTTGCACTAAAAGCTTTCATCCCTTGATAACTTTGCATTTTTGTAGTCAATTTTTTACGTACAAATAAATTTCACATGCGTAAAATTAATTTGGTCTCGTATGTATTTAAGGAAACACACATAGATATAAAAAGTAAATTTGGGCACATTCAGGACAAAGTTTGTCATTCTGGTCTTTAATTAAGGAATAAGGTTAAACAAAAAGAACCACGGCAAAGGAACCTTAACAAAAAAACAATATACATAGAATTTATATTTTCTTCGTCATTAACATTTCTTTGCAAATTATTCAATATTTCTTGTCGTTTCGGCTTAACCTTTGTGATGTACAAAGGGTGTTTTTTCTTTGTTATTTTAGCATTATTCCATTTGATACTTATTTATAAGTAATTTTGAGAGTATTTCGAATACGTTTAGATGATTCTAAATTATTGCGCTATAATAAACGCTTGTTCTAAAATTTTAGTTGTACAAACCTAAAGACATCTCAATACTACTAACGTTTCACTCAGGAAATTTCCAGTCAATAACCTATTGGTTGTGTTTACACATCTTACAGTAATATGATATTTAAATAAATACATAAATACTATAACTTAATGTCTGTAGATGATATTGGCTTCGTTCCAAAGTATTTACTTTCTTACGACCAAACGTTCATTAGGAAGATAACGACCATAGATAGAAAAATGACTTTTTTTTTACGATTTTAAAATGAAATTTTTGGGTATTTGGAATAACTAGAAGATTGATTCTTTATTTTTTAGTGAAACTAATCTGTTTTATTCTGTAATTAGCCGACTTCAAAAAGGAGGTGATCGATTCGTCCGTTTTTTTTTGTGTGACACCGCGTAACTTCACCCGTGATGCTCCGATTTTGAAATTTCTTTTTTTAAATAATCAAATTACTGATTTAGTGCAAGAAGCGGGGTCTAACTGACTACGTGGACATCGGCGGCGCTGTCGGCCTCGACCACACGAACATGGAGGTGCTGGATAATGTCTGCGGACTCGACTCTGTTGCAGGTAACATACATTAAGCTCTGCGTTTGCAATGCTGAAATAATCCAGCAATATTGTTGTCTCGGTTTTTCTTAAGGAGAATGAGAGGGATGGGATATGTTTTGCTAATGTTTCGGCAGTAGAAACATATGGCAAATCTTACATGTGCGCTAACATTTTGTACCATACTTCAGTCGGAACGTTCACTTCATTGTATTGTTCATTTTGTTATACTATAATTATTAGTACAATAGTTATTTTTAATTAAAAGTACAAATTATAAATTAGTATAAGATTTTATATCTAAAAGTTATTAAAAATAGTTCATAATAAAGTTACATTTTTGTATTTAATAGCTGGTTCGTTACATTTTTACAGTATAAAATTTGAATCGACAGTCTGAAGTCATCTACAAAATAAATTTAAATCTTTACGGACTGATGCTTGAACTAAGGATCTATCGGGATCAACTTGATAAGGCAGATGTGAATAGACGTAATGACGTGAAGGATGATTGATGATAAAAATCTTACACAGAAGCAAAATTGCTTTTCTTTGTGCTACTTATTGATTGGTCGTCAAAAGAGTGTTTGACAAACAAAAGTTAAAACATTTTTCTTTTAAATATTTTTCTAACATTTCTATACTATATTTAGCGGTTTCACTTTAGTTTAACGATGAATTGTGAACAACTTTAATTTAAATTTAATAAAATTCATAATTGAAAACTAAACTTAGGTTTCTAAGAGTCCACTTCTTTTAAAAACAAGATTCAATTAATTTTCTTTGCGTCGATAAATAAATCTGATTAATATTCTAATACACATTTTCATAACAAAGAAACTATGATAACATACAATGAATACATAAAGAACGACATATATAATTTGCCTTGTACAATCTCATCTCAAATGATGAAAGACGTTTTTCTTGTAGCAAATAAACGATGTATCCCTATACAAACAATAGTTCACGAATTACAAAAGAACTTGAGTACAATATCAAAAGAATATTGAATGTAACACACGACTTACGTTTCAGGTCAACGACCCGCTTTCATCGCTTGCGAGAATACTGTCGTCCGTTTGGTGTCCAGTGGCGTATACAAAAACTCCGTGACACTCGGCTTTGGTCCTTTGATCCTTGATCGTATCGAAAACGCGGATCTCATCTGCGCTGACACCGTTGAAATGTAAACTGTACTAAGAGCCATCTATGTATCGCTTCATGAAACGAAATGTAACGCAATGGTTCCGTGTACTAATGTAATATTAGGCATTCGTGTGGTTTTAAAGTAGTAAATAAAAAATTGAAAAACATATGAAAATATAAAATACACATTTATGGCTTATTATTATTTTCGTGGTATTAATAAGTCTGTGTATTTCCATATTTCTTATGTTACAAAAAAAATTGAGTTATCTAAATTTTCGTTTACTTTTTTGTAAAAATTGTATTTTTTAAATTATAATACAGTAATTTAGCATAAATTATAGTTTGCATTTAATAAAAACTATTATGAATGTGTGTAACTGTAAATAAACGAATCTCCCGCTCGCATACATATTCAACTCTAGTCAAAATATTTATGTTGACGATTGTACTAAGATAACCCGAACCAATAAATATAAAATTTACTCTTCTATTGATGTTTCATTTCATAAAACCACTTCTGAATTCCCCGAATACATTTATGGTATGAAACGTTTAGTTTGGAAATGTGAATATTTTATGGTTTTGACTTTACCTTAACATAACTGTAACTGCTTTAAGTATAAGGGCGACATCAAACGACATCTTGGAGACAGAAATAATAAATATACTAAACTTGAAACACTTTTTAGCTAAAATTACACTAGATGGCAGCAGTTTATAGTATTCAACCGATTTTGGTCATTTTCATTCGATTTATTATTTTGAATTTAGAACTAAAAATGTATAGGTAAAAGAAAAACGAACGATTTTAATTTGATTTTATTTATTCAGGAGAGATAATAATATTTAAAGCAAATTATCAACTAATGTCGAACAATATTTGGATAAAAATATTCCTTCTTTTTTCTACAGACAAACAAACCTTAGTGCGACTGTACAAATGAATTTAAAAAATAACTTATTTCTTTTCAATTATCTATTTCTTTAATATTTCTATTAGAAACAATGTGTAAACTATGATATCAATGTTGTATTTCAGAGCCTGGTTTCAAAATTACGGCGCAATACTCACGTAATTAACCGATTCTTATTATAAAAGTTAGTGTATTCATTCCTTTACTGCCATTATTTAAACACCATTCTCTAAAACACCTATTTAACGATACGTCTCGTATAATCGCGAAGAAAGCTTGCCCTTACTCTAAGAAATCGGTTACAAGACTATTTGGATACAAAGTATAAAATGGATATATTGTCCAATGTCAAACGCATTTCTGTTTTTTTCCTCAATAAGGTAAAATGAATAAGTGCACACCGATATGTATACATTATTTAGCACCTAATTTAAAGCAGTGTCTACATTTTACGTTCAAATTTCGCACAACATATTGCAAGCGTTTCACAAATAACATTGAACAATTATTTTCCTAACGAAGTTCGAGTTATGCTACTGCACTTTACATCTAAAGTATAGTGTTATCCAAACTTTATGGTTGCTCAGAATTTCGCATGAAGCGCTGCAAAGAGGTGCGGGGGCAAAGCACCCCTAGATTTTTCTACGTACAGTGGGCTTACATCAAATAGATCTGTGTAGAAGATTCACAGCTAACCACGAGCAACCGTAAAGTTTGAATCATATAATACAGATAAATCAAATATGTTTTATTAATTATTATTTATGTTGTAATCGTGTAACATTTATTAGTTAATAATATACTATTTCTGCAACACTTAGTTATTCTGACTATATAGATATATTGAATTCCAACTATCCAGATACTTAACAAAGCTCTTTTTGAGTTCAAAATAAAATTTACAGCTTAAATTTAATTAACAATATAAGACATTTATACAAATCTAATATCGATCACATTCAATCTATTTATTAAAATTACACTAAACACTAAAACTCTATATTATGGCATAGTTTATAGAATCAGCTCTTCTAACGGATTTTTTTTTTATTTTACAACAGAAAAATTTAAATTTTACAGAAAAAAATCACGGCTCCATTCACTTACACACAAAATAGAAAATAATTTACGTTGAAATATTTATTTATTACATTTTTAAGACTCGTTAGGCCAGTAATAAATATGAAAACAAAAATATCAAGGTTTCAAATGAAAACTATGAAGCTATTAGGACTTTAAAAATAATTCGAGATTTTAGTACTGGATTCCGCAGATCTAGAAGTGTACGCAACTCATATTTGACTCGTCTATTTGGGATGCAAACTGTAACATGAAAATTAGAAGCTTTTCTTTATCATGGATTAACAGTAACATTTTGCTGAATTTTAGTAATTAAAGCAACATTCAAATTAAAATAATAAATTTCATATCGTGTGTTATCTCATTGTTTGAGCTTCGGTTAAATTTTAATTCTAAATTAAGTTCATTTGACATTAACTTAAGATTTTTAACTTTACCTATCTATAGCTTACTATAAACCTTATATATTTCCTACTAATTGAATACTCGAAAACATTTATAAAAAAACATTAATCATAGCATTCCAATGAACATTTAATCCAATGAATATTTTAACACAAGATATATTTATAATATCTTAGTTCAATAACATTGAGATAATAAGCAACTAAAGTAATGTTAACAACTACAAAATAAATACAATAAAAAACACTATTAAATAAAATATTAATATTAGGATTACCTTAACAAATATTTTCTTTACATGTTTACTTTAGGCTAATTAAAGCTATCCCATACAACTTCTCAAATTGTGCTAAATCCATTGAAGCTAGTGTGGGTGCAGTAGCTACGATTACGTAAACATTCGCAGACATACTATGCGAAACACTGAAATATAAGGCGCTTTGTTAGCTAATTTGTGCTAATATACCGTCAGTTGTTTATGTGAATTTGTTAATATGTGTTGCGACTGTGAAACTTGTATTACAACATATTGCCGTCTCTGTTTTACACAAAGAGAATGAGAAGAACGACTGCGCTGTCACACGAATGTTCGTTGGACGTTACACGATGGAAACAGTTGGAATTTTGTTGATATTCGATATAGGTTTGCATAGGTCATGCCTTTAGTTCGTCATATCGCTTTTGGATAGTAATTGACAATCTCTTTAAAGATTTAAAAGCTATACTTAAATATTTCTTGTGTAATTATTATTTATTTTAGTCATAAGATTTTTATTTAAAGCAAAATGCTTGCAACAATTCAATCTTTATGGGGAATAATCAATGAATCAAATTTTACAAATTATTTATGGAAAGAACCAAGTAATGAATCAAGATTAGTAAAAATTAAATTGTATGTTACATTTTACTATAGAATGGATAATAATATTCAAGTTTGGAACAAATGTTATGATGTTTACGTTATGATTTATTGGGATATGTTGAAACAAATTAATTATATAATAATGCGCATAAGTGTTTCTCATGTATACATAAATTATTCGAAAATTTTTCATAAATTCTTATATTACTTTTTAATATTCCTATTACACATAGCTTTAACATACATAGAAAAATCCTATTTAGTGTTCAAAATATCGTGAACTATTCATAAGAAGGGATTATTTACAAAATATATAATACTATATTTGATCATAGTCATAAGAATGTGAATTTTCATAAGAATATCAAGTGGTACAATATAGCGCCCTAATCACAAACAGTCATAATATACATATATTGGTAAAAATTTCCTAGAATCTATATATTTCCTTTATAATATATAATTCTAAAGTCACTACTTTAAAGATATGTATCGTTTGCTATAAGCAGAGGCACACATTGATATGTATTGTGATTTACGTCAATACTGACGCTGTACCAAACAAAGCCGAACTACAAACATTTGACTAACTTACACAAAAACTACACATCAAATTCTCAATATATACTCATACAATACATTAAAATGGATAGATATTCATTAAAAAATAAATTAAATCTCATAGGGCAACATTATAAACAAATGTGTAGTAGGGACTTTTAATAAGTTACATAGAGGAACAAAATATAAGCAATTTTCATAGTTACAAATAAAAGGTAGCTTCACCTTTAAAACAAAGAGGCAGATAATCTCTTTATTTGTAAACTATAATTATTTAATCAAATCTTAGATGATCAACCCGATTCTATTCCGATGACTGGATACACATTTCTGTAATTATTAAATGTCCGTCAAACAGTTTTCATTCCATACGTAATATCACACCAATTGATTCAACCTTCGTAATTCTTGTAATAAGCGTCTCTCTCATCTCGTACACTTTACACTGTCACCAAAACTTTGTTAATGCAAACAATACAACTTAATTAATAAAACTATATGAATTATATAACATTGAGATGGAAATCACATTAAACTACATAGTACTAAAGACAAACAACCCGTCGTAATAAATAAACGAGAAACTCGAAAAAACGAGACGGGACCAAAGCAGTCGTTGAAGCTATTGATCTTCTGTATCAAGCATTATGAATTGGTCGCAATTTCAAATAGTGTTAAGTTTGTCGTCCACCTAAGACAACGGGTTAAAGGACTCTAATCTCGGAACGTTCGTTTCGTGCGGTTAGTGTTTAAAGTGCAGCGGTAGTTGCTAGCGTCGTAAGCAACACTATCGGCAGGGTTGTACCAGCCACGCTGCTGTAGGGACCCGTCACTGCACCGTCACAAGGCACGTGCTCTAACTCTGAAAACGAAATACATTTATACTTGAATACGCTTATTACTTGCTTCATGTGTAATTATTGCCAGCGAAGAAGACAGACACATACAAGATATAGATTATTAAAATATTGTTGATCAGAAGAGCTGCCAATAAGGACTTGCTTAAAGGCTACGTGGATAATCAGTTCTATAGGGGCACTTAAAATGGATGTATGACGTAATCTAACAAAACAAACATGTGACAAAACACAGAATCATTTCCGATTCACGATTGTCTCCTATGTGGCCGCGGCATTTCAATGGTCGAGACGGCCGACTCGTGCAGAAGATGTTTTTGAGAGCTCTACCACTGTTACACCATGATTTCCTACCAAACAAAATAGTTATGTTACCGTTAAGTTTATTGAGGAAGTCGTTCCAAAAGGCGCAAGCGGAGGCGCGTGGTCCGCGGGGACCCGCTGGACCGCTGCTGCCGTCAGCTGTGTACGTGTAGTAATGCGGCGACGACCGCGAGTACAAAGGCCACTTCTCCTCCGGCTTGTGAGGCTTTCTGCAACGAAAATTGATATTTTAAGTATGATAGAAGAACGTTAAACGAAATTTTTAGTTGCCTCTGCTGTCTTGACAAACACATATGTAGTCGAAAGCAAACCCTCTTTTAGGTCTAGTAGGCGATAACGAGTTTGAAATGAGTAACGGAGAGGTAACGCAAGTTTGTAAAATTCTTATATAATCTGCAATTATTAATTTCCAGGTAGACTATTACTAATCAATTTTTATTATGAAAACATTTTTATTAAACAACTGGAGGTATCTAAATTCAAACAACTACACATTCGTCATCACTACTTTTTTATTACATTTCGTTGTCTGTATAATCTTACCCAGTTAAAGCGAATCTGGTGAAGGACTGCATAATGTGAGTGGCCAAGTCTCGCTCGCGAGTGTGGTACTGTAGAGACATGTTCAAGGGATGACCGAACACATACTCCATCTCGTCTCCGTGCATCACGCCCATCCATTCACCCCACAGACTGGTACTTGTGCGCTGGAAATATAAACAAATAAAAAATTAAAGATTGCTGAATACTTTTCACTTTTCCAGTAGCAAATATTTTTCGGCTAAATTCGCATGTCCTGATAATGCCAGCCAAATAGTTTTCTTCCTAAGCTAGGTCACGTTGGCTAATGTATTTAGCATTTCAGAATGTTAAAGTTAAGGATGAAACATTAATAACGTTATTACCAGGATTAATCATAATATACCATTCAACCAAAGGTTCATTTGTTTTACTTGCTAGGTAAAAAATCTGCCGTAAAGGAATGTTTTTTTACTTATTTGTTTTTATCATTTTGTTACGTTTTAAATAAAAAAATTTAAACCCGGATATTAAGGTTACCACCTGTAAAGCGTGTTTTAATAATGCAAGGAGGCTGCTGGTATTTTGCGATCTACAAACATACGGTTACGGTATATGACGAGGCTAAAGGTCGACATTCATATTAAATGTAACGTTTATACCTTGATATTGTTGCGACCTACGGTTTTAAACCTGTGTCATTGACCTTTTATACTTCTAACCTTTTCCATTTAATTTGTTTTGTCTTTTGTTTATTTGATTAAACTGTTTCCAAAATATTTTCTTTAAATATAGTTGAAAAATAATCGTGTAAAATGTGTAATCCAATAGTCGTTTTAATAAGTATGAATTTACAGTTGAAAAACTATCAATACTACATGAAATGATCTTTCTTCTTACTAATATTATAATTGCTATTGTTTAGATCGATGGATGGATGTTTTCAGAAAATATCTCTAGAACAACTAAACGGATCTCGCTGTAATTTAAAATAGATGTAAAAAATAGTATGGTAAACGACATAGGCAACGAATTATTTTGTTATATTTCCGAGCGGACTGATTCACAGTCAACATTTAGTGTCAATATAAACCTATAATAATTGCTCAAGAAATTAGACTTTTTCATGAGTTATTTTCAAAATATAATATGTAGTCGTGATTTACTTCATAAAAATATACAAAAGACTAATAAAAGCAGAGTAATAAAACCTTCCACAGTAATCAATCGTTGGACGTCTGTAGAAGTATATAATTTTAGAAACACAGTTTAGTTCGTTCACCAACAAAGTGATGTAATTAAGTTGATTAGGACAATACTATAATTGACCTTGGACCATTTTATAGCATACTGTGTATACTAATTTTGTTGTCATGTTTGAAATTTATTGTGATGAACAAAAGTGTAGAAGCAGAAATAATATTAAATATTATCACTGGCGTAGGTGGCTCAGTGGTTAAGCCCTTGACTTGTAATCTGTAGGACCTGGGTTTGGATCCCGCCATGAACCAATGTGTTTTCGATATGCGATTTACATATATACATTTATTCGACGTTTTTACGGTTCAGGAATACATTGTGATGCAACTTGTACATATCTGAGAGGAAATTCAAAGATATGTGTGAAATCACCCGACTAGCACTGGGCCATCGTGGTTGAGTATGACCTAGTCACCCCTAACTTAGGGTAGGCTCCGAGCCCCGCAGTGGGGACGTATAGTGAACTGATGATGAATGTGCACTACGGTATGTAATATAGTACTCAAGGAAACATTAAGGAATGGCTGCATAACCCAATGTATAATATCTTGGTACTTTAACAATTAAGTAAAGAGGTCGTGAGGGTACTTACAGACTTAATGAATTTTAAAACAGGGATAGGGGTAAAAGGGATAGGCTGTTTGACAACAGGAAAGATGTTAATAATTGGACGGACTTCGTGGGTGTTTTAATTATAAAGTCATTTCCATATTGTAACAAGTAACTGGCTTATATTACAATGGTTATCCCAAAATTTAATTGTACTAACCAAATATTAATTAGTGCATAAAATAACAGCTAATCAGAAATATGTCACAAAGACTAATACGATGTGTAAAACCAAGAAATAAGAAAAATAATTGTTAATTTAACTTTAATTGTCACGTATTTAAATTCGATTTTAAAGAGAATTTATTTTGTTGTTTATATTTAATTTCCTCATATGACTGTTTTAAATGAAGTCATAATTCAATAACAAAACAGTCAGTCGACTACACAAATGGAACGGCGACGGGTCACAACCCGAAATAGCCAGCTGTTAATCTGTGACCTTTGACTTCGGCTCGGCGGCGGCTAGTGCGACCCATGCCTAATTTATTAAAACTGCTCGCAGCCATTCCTTAACGACAACCATCGAGGTTGTCCCCATAAATTCTCTTTTTTATTTCCATATGTAACCTTTTTATTCTGTTGTCCTTATTTCCGGGTTTTTTATATTCTTGGGACTGCAGGCGTCAATCCAATGTTGGTTTGAATATACCCCTTTCCGAATTTAATATACTGTAACTAAAATGTTATAAAATGTTTTATTTATATTGTACTAGCGGTCGCCCGCGACTCCATCCGCGCGAAATTAAAAAAAAAAACAAATTTAGTAGCACATGTTTTCTTCTAGACTATATTCTACATTTATGCCAAATTTCATCGTGATCCTTTCAGCAGTTCTGGACACACCATTAAACATCCATCCATCCATCTAAAGAATAATACAAAAGATTAAATAACTATACTAGTCTATGTTTTTATATGAAAGAGTTATTCTGTTAGTAAAAGAAACAAGATGGGAAAGGATATGAAATACGTATTACTATAAACAATATTACTGTATATTTCGTTCCTACCTCTACCACCGTTAAACCTTGTGGTTTAAGGTTCATAACATCAAATACGCTTACATAACCGCAGAAAACATTTTGATGTTATAAACAGAATGTAGCGAAGCGGTAATTTTGTTTGCATATTCAAAGTTTAGCAAATTTCCGTACTAATAAAATACCGCTCCACTAGCTTCGATCAAATTTGGAGCAGCGTCGTAGGTACGGCAAAAGTTCACGTGTGAATGTGAAAACTGTTTCAACTTTATACACTGTCCTAAATTTAGTTTGATGGGTCTATTAGTAAATATTCGAATAGTATTATGCCATAATATTATTAATACTTGATAAAACGATATGTTTCTGAAACAGGTATGATGTCAATGGAAACTCATGGGTACTGGATACATTCGACAAACAAAACAGAATAAATACAATTTTATAGCCTATGGTAAATCAAGGCCTTTCAATATTAATTGTCATCCTATTATGCGTTCCCGCTGAGGGGCTTGGAGCCTACCCTGAGTTGGGGGTGACTAGATCATACCACGCTGACCGAGTGTAGGTTGGTTGACTTCACACATATCTCTGAATTTCTTCGCAGATATCTGCACGTATCGTCACGATGTTTCCTTCAACCTAAACCGAACGTTGGATAAATGTACATATGTATATCGTAAGTCGAAAAACACATTAATACTCGGCGGGATTCGAACTCAGGACCTGCAGATTACAAGACAAGAGCTTCGCCCCTGAGCCACCGCTACATAATATTGCTTTCAATATTGCTAGTTTTAAATTACAGATTATCTCGTGGTAGCAGTACGTTGTATTATTTATAACCACAATTCTCTGGCCAGACATCTGTCTTTTGCAATTGTATTTAGTTATTGTTGCAACATGACATAGTTGTTGTTGTTTGTATGATTTGTTACTTGTAGTGCGACATTGAATTATGATGCTAGATCTTATTTCCGAACTTGCAGTGAGTTTAACATTTCTCTGTGCTTACAAGTACGAAGATAAATTGATTACATAGTATGCATTAAATGTACGAGATCAACGTTTTTGCAAAATACTATTATAGATTTCCCATCATGCAAATCTAAGAACAATAATCTGCGTGAAATTAAAGAAAAAACCTAATTACTAGCCTATGTGTTCTTCCAAACTATTTTCTACATCTATAAGAAATTTCATCAAGTACCGTTTAGCGGTTCTGAAGATACATTCTAACAAAAATCTAAACATTCACATTTATAATATTAGTAAGAAGTAAGATTAAATGTATTTTACCACCACATCATAAATGATTTCGTTTTTCTGATAGTGAATTAAAAAATATTGCAGATAAATAAATACTTTTAATATACAATTTATTCGCACGATTCAATTTATTAAATTATGCTGAAGTATGATTAACAAACTTGAGTAAAAGAACTTGAAGCTCTCATCTAGAATTTCAACAGTTTATTTTTCAAATCAAAATCACTTCTCGAGTTTGAAGGAAAATAACGAACATTTTATTATTTAATGTCTCACAAAATGTTTCCAACCGTCAGTTAAGCTTGTTTGGACACTCGTGACCCATAAACTGCCGACAATGCTCGTCTATCAAACCTTATTCCAGCGACAAATCGCCGTCGTCGCCGCCCCGGACAACTTTTTTGATTTATTGTCAGACATCTATTCATTTCTTTTCTTACTTTTTCACAATTTAGAACTTCTGTTAAAGCACTAATAATGTTTTATAAAGCTGTCGGCGTTTATGTTAATTCATACTTCGAACTTTATTGGAGTCTAGCAATGGAGTCTGGACAATAAAATATTAAAACCTATGTCACCCGGGGATAATGCAGCAACAATGAAATCTTTCCTCTTTTTAATATTACGAGTATAAGTACAGATATAAATTTGAAATGATTTATTTTTAAATTTGATTACTTAAAACGGTAAAAGCATTCGAAGTTAAATTCGTGATTTAATCTGAGTGAACTTTTGGACACTTCTCAACTCGCCAATTTGGCTGTTTCTTTAATAAAATCAACAGTTCACAGCAATAGGGTTGAATTTAATAAAACAACTGTTGAATAAGAATTATTGATTATTAATAGTTTAATTAAACTATGGGCAAATGTTGCGAAAACTGCATCATTTGATTTATCCGTTTAGAAAAAATCTCTAGAGTGGATGAATCTATACGAACAGAGGATTCAATCGTCTTACTCTCTACTTTCTTGTATCTAGCTGTATCAGATATTCATAAACAATATTATTCTGACCCAATCAAAAAAACATTTAGTTTGATCTCCGTAAAAAAATCATTGTTTTTCTTCTTACGAGCAAATCACATAATATTTCCTACAAATTATATTCCAGTTAAGTTTACCGTTGAATATTTGATGAGTGCGGCCGACATTACCGGCCCACAAACGACGTGCACACAATTGGCGCACATGGATGCCTGTCAGCAAGACTTACATAACTCCAACGTTACAATTTACACTTTTATTATTTACGGACTGGTTGTCACCAGTGATGATTACTTTGATTCGGTCGTATTTACTAAAACATTACTTGTGTCTATATATTTTGGCATATCAGATTGAAACTACTGTCTTACTTCTGGCCAATTTCATACTAATTTATATGAAAGACTGTAGCTATAGATTAAATGGAGTTAAAGAAAGATAGAATTTGTGACATAATAATAAAGCAGTGGTACTATAATATGAGAGAAATATGTTACTAACTTTATAAATGCAAAAGTATAGATGGATGGATGGATGTATATTTGTTAGGAGGTAAACTAGACCTAAACGGATCTGACTGAAATTTAGCACAGAGATAATTACGGTCTGAAATAGCTAATACCGTTTCTCAGTTTCTTCTTAATTACGCTCGGATCTTACTAATGGATGGATGGATGTTTGTTTGTAGGTATCTCCAGAACGGCTGAACGAATCGCAAATAAATTTGGCATACATATAGAACAGACTGGAAGAACACGTAGGCTACTGTGTTGTTGTTTAATTCCACGTCGACAGAGTCGCGGGCGACAGATAGTAGTTCTATAAGTTGAGAAATGCAAGACTATATTATAAAAAGAAAATACTCTATGACATGTAGAGCACACGATAATATCAATTTAAAATGTTACAATGGAAACATGATGTTAAGATTGATTCCATATACAATAAGGGAACAAGCTTGAGTGGCTATTCTTAAAGAATTGAATCACAAAAGAAGCAAAAATATTCAAGGGTAGGGAGATGTATGGACACAATAGCGGCGCAAGTTTGCTGCGACGTCACAGTTTGTTAAGACATAGTGCACAAGGTATTCAAATTTCTTTTTAAGTTTTATACATCTTTATCAAAAAATCGCAATTGAATATGTTCATTTAATTTTTTTCAAACTAGATAAACTTATTTGACATCGTAACAGTAAACCGCGAACTCCTCCGCCATAGTTTGACAAAGATCTTGTGCCAGTCGGTAATATGTGAACTAACAAAAAAAATTCGTGGGAGCTATCAAATTCTAATACATGAAAGCGTCATTAAACTTTTAAGAACTAGTAACGATGTACATTTGACTAACATAAAATTATGCCAACATTGTTAAAAGTTTCCTCGTTAGCTAAGCCGTCCTCTTACAAAATAAACTTAACATATCTAGGAAACGTAACATTTCAAGTAAGCCGCAGGCCGTATTCATAGTGTCCTTAATAAGTCTAATAGTAAATTTAATATGCTGCACACTTTTTCATGGATTTCACAAAACGTTTCTCCGCCCTTTTTGCTTCGATGGAATTCAGCCTTTGAGTTCGCAGCGCCAAAGCAAAAAGCGAATGTTGCAGGCATGCTCTCAACGAGGGCCCTCGCGTTTGGTTCGTTAGCCAAATTAACGTGTTAGCCCGAACCGGTTTCAACTTTGAAGAGCGTCTTCCTCGTAGAAATGACTTTGAATTTTTTAACCTACATCTGAATTTAACGTAATAAATGTTCTTATTTTAAATTAATTCGATCACTTGTTTCCTTAAAAACTAAAAGCTTGCATTAGTTATATTGATTTTTTTCTATCCTTCTGTTTTTGTATTTTTAATTGTATTTAAGGTAATGCTGTGGTTCGAATAAATGTCACAACATTTTTTGAGCCTTGTATAAACCAAAATTTATTTCGTGTTCTTTTTTTGAATTTTACTTATAATGAATCAATCCAATTTACTTTTATAAATTAGGTCTATTGTTTTTTCCTATTAGCTTCACTTGCAGCTTTATTTCCTCCCTAGATAATGGAAATTGTATTTTCCAGCCCACGTCTCATAATGCTTCTGGCGCAATACCTTGCGGTTTTGCTTTCTAGTTCCCTCGAGAAATTAACTTTAATTAAGTATTCTTCTTCAAAGGATTGCATTTGCGTTTCATCCTTTTAAAAAGACTTAATAATTGTATTATTAAAAATAAATGTTTTTATCTTACTTCTTACTAATATTATAAATGTGAATATTTAGATGGATGCATAGATAAATGGATGTTTGTTTTAAGATATCTCCAGAACGGCTGAACGGAACTGGATGAAATTTGGCATACATATAGAACATCTCGTCTGGAAGAACACATTGGCTACTTATTATGTTGTTCTTTAAATCCGCGCGAAGGGAGTCGCGGGCGACAGTTAATTTCATAATAAATACAATGCTTTTATTAATCAATTCAATTACCTTACTATGGTGATAGGTTACACTCCAGCTTTTTTATAAATAAAGAACATAAATATTGATATTGGATATTGCATCTGTGGGAGTCACAGCCGGAGAATACTTTTTCAAATAAATCATAGTCTTCTTTAACTCATATATTCCTTTTAGAATTGTAAAGCAATTCCAATACTTTTAATTTACGATAACGAAATACCGTCAGATAATTAACATGATAAGTTGAATACTTCTATTTTATATTTGAGAATCAAATATTTAAATAATATTTTGGATCGTAATACAAATGATTAATGTTGTTATATTAAATAAACAAAAGTGTTATTGACTTATAGCATAGACTAAATAACGTTTTAGGTTAAGGAATTATAGAATATATAAAATGGCTTACACATATTTTTGAACTTAGTAGCAATAATTTGTAATTTCAATACTTACATGGGTAAAGTAGTAGTAATAGACCTCAACGCCGGCGTCCGCAAGGATTTCAGCGAAGTAGTTAGTGGGGCAGACAAAAAAGTAATCACCAACCACATCTGCGATCATTTTCTGATTCAAATAGCCATCAGTTATTTCTTCCCAGTCAGTGTACTAAAAGGAAAAATAATAATTTTCATGATGATTACGTTTTATCTATTTTTAATTATAAATTTAATTACTATGTGACAAGTCAATCAGTTGTGTAAATGAAGGGACGATTTATGAACAATTATGTTAATCGTTATACATACATATTTCATACAAACGATTCTGGTCGTCGTCACACACTAATTACGTTTTTGTCCCACGAGGGTCATTCTATTTGATTTATTATCAACGGTAATGTAAGTCCACGTCTAAATTATTATGCTTTAAAATTATTTCCAAATATTCTATTTCATTACTGAATATCATAGAAATAAATATTCATAAATATACTAATTTAGTTTTGCCAGACAAGATGTAGAGCGCAAAATACCTTAAAACCTATCTTGTTATAAAACTTGGAAAAACCAGGAATTACACGTTAATCCTTAAATGGAACATCCTCTTTACTCAGAATAAGACCACAAATTGACGCACGCAAACATAAATTGCGCATATTCTGTGAAATTAAAATTGACAGAACAGATTGTTTGTTCATTTGTTCAGAACAGAATTGTATTCATTTAACAATTTATGGTATATCTAGTTGACTATCTTAACGTTTACGCTGTTTTATTTTTATTATCAACTTTGCTATTTTTTTAATTTCTGAAAATATATCTCTTACAAGAAATTTCTCTCACAATTAAACTATATAAATTGTTAACCGTGGATTTATAGAAATTATTAAAAGTACAAAAACTAAAAAGTTTTTAATAATAATAATAAGAAATACTGGAAGATACTCACTTGAAAAACAATTGCTTCTCTCTTAATTTTCGAGAATTCTTTGAAAATTGTATCGATAATTTCAAGAAACTTTTCTCGTTGTAGAAAACTTGGGCCGTCTTTTTCGAAGTAATCCAAGAAATCGTAGAGTAAGAAATATGTGCCTGTAATAAATATAATATGCATCTAAGTCTCGTTTCGGTAATTATTTAAATAATATGTATAAATTAACAGTTATTTTAAATAGAAAGACAAAACGATGTCCTTATCTTGTTAAATTGATTACACTAAAAAAATATAAACAGTGTATTGCTAATTCCATTTATGGAAAATCGATTTTTGATTTTATTAAATTCTTAACTATGTTAATTCATTAAAAATCAACCTATAACTAAATTATAACTGCCCTGATCGTTGCGCAATTTTTTTATGAAAGAAAACTACTTAAAAATGGTTTTATAAGTAATTATTTTCCATTAAAAGTAAAACATGTAATGTAAGTACACACGTTTGGATATATCCTTTACGATCATCCCTATGGACTAGAAACAACAAGTTAAACAACAATAAAAATGGATTAAAAATACAGAAATAAAGTCTATTAAAACAAATGCCTTATACTTAACAGAGAACTCACATATCACTGGCTATTCATGCCAAAGAAAACTAAGCATATTGATTGATGAGTAAAACCAGAAATTAAGACATCAGCAATGTTTTGTCAGATAAAACACAATACCATGTATTAATAAAAAAAATCATAAATATGTTTAAATCTTTAACTATAATTCTTATTTTAGAAGAGAAGAATATCAGCACATGTTCGCAATCACTTATTTCTTTGCATCTGAACAAAACATCTACGAAGCATGTTTCTTGATCCGTATAAAACACGCCGAGTTAAATTCTTCAAATACAACAAATGCACAAAGCCAACGAGGCTACAAAGGCAAAGCAAACATTTGCACATCTTTACCGGGCGCCAAGGCAACGTTTGACACTTAGATCTTTTATGCAACATAATTTATCTACATATAAAAAATGCATCTCATTACGTATACAATCCGTATGCAGTGAAGGTGAAGAGCCCTTTGACAAGGCGGTTCATTAAAATTATATCACGCCCTTAGTTATTCATAAAGCTACAATTTCAAAATGTACATATAGCCAAGGTCATGGCGAGATAATGGAATATTATGACACGACATAAAATTGTTTGCGATTAAATATTTATATGGAATCTTTTGTTTTTATATCACTGTATCCCTCTAACCATTTGATACATCAGCTCCAACGGAAACCGTAATAACGAGTTCAATTTAACATAGAGTACGACTCGGAGAGACGCACAGATCGGATATCCGTTGCTATCAACACGCAGTTCCTTTTTAACATCGATATTTTTACCGCAACGATTGATTTACATTAGAAAAGATTCGTGGTAAATAAGATAAGTAAAGTAGGGCATTCAACAATTTAAAATAATAAGATTCAGGTGCCGGCGGTGCCCGCTTTCGAGAAGTTGCTCTTATCAGGCTGGGCAAGCGGGGTGGCGTTGGGGTGGGAGGGTGGCCGAGGGGTGTGCGTGGCAACACCGGGCAGGGGTTGGGTGTCGGAGGCCTGAGCTACGTGGGCGAGTCTGTAGTACTTGGTAGTACGACTATCCACAGCGTGTTATTGTTGTGTCTACACAGGTGTGCGCAGGCGTGCGCCCCGTGCGCTGGTGGAAGTGCGGCGCCGCACCTCGCCGCGCCGCACATACACCTGTGCGCCGCACTCTACACCTCCGACACTCAAACGACCTCGAACTCCTCGACCGATATTGATAGATGTTGTTTTGAAATTATCATTATCATCTTAATAAAATTCTAGACCATCTTAACATTTCTACGAATTGTCTTTTGAAACTTTAATTAATATAAAATATTTTATGAGTAGCGAATGACTAAAAAAAAGATATTAGACCACTTACATTTTCTTCAAAAACAAATAAAAAAACCTTACGAACTTCAAAAGCGTAGAAAATTAACGGACACAAATAAAGCACTCTACCTAATGACTGGATAAATCTATACTAATTATACGGAGGAAAGATTTGTTTTGTTTGTAACGGATGAGGACTGAAATTACCCGACTGAAGGGAGGGTAATGTGTTTCGTAGGTTTGTAAGTACCTATGTTATTTTATGTATGCGAGTTTTTATGTTTGACTATAGTATTTCGCGGACCGTTAGAGGGATACAGTCAGTTGGTCTTAGTCATCTAATCCTTTCGTAAACAAGATTTAATTCACATCGATGTTAATTCAAATACAGGTTTTTACAAAGCGCATACTCAAACATGACCTTGACAGTTGTGTTTTCTATTGAGCATGTACTCTTGCTATTATAGACATATATTTGTATATCGTTTTATTTTATCAATTTTAAAAACGAAATAGTTTGAATGGATTAATAGTACAAATGATGTTATGCTATTGGAACCTGACACAAAATAAGGCTCGTAAATATTTGTTATTTGTTTATCAAATCAACTTGATATACCACTGATAACATAAAAACAATTGCTGAATTATGAACTTACCTTCATCTTGGTTACTCCCAAGTAAAACTTCGGTATTATGAAAATTCCCTTCTTTTATCATCGTATCTGGATCTTTGGGAAGAAATACGCCGTCAACGGTCGGAGCTGAAGGGAACCCTAATATACCAGTGTAGGAATTCCATTGCTGTACAGATATTGTCTTAGCATCCACACCGCGCATGCAATCCATCACAAGACTCGGATCCACAGCTAATAGACTGCTGTTGCAATTGCAGTCGTCTACTAAAACTTTGCCTATGAATTGAGCTCGTTCGCCAGTCATCCAACTCCAAGGTGCATTTAAAGTCCCAGATTGCAGTATTCCCCTCTTAAACAATCCCTTCATTTCAGGTGAAAGCATGTGCAGACTAACGCTACCTCCCCCTGCCGATTCCCCGAACAATGTTATTAACTCAGGGTCTCCACCAAACGCACGAGCGTTGTCTTTGATCCAACGAATCGCTAACTGTTGATCCCACAAGCCCATGTTACCCGGAGCTTCTTCACTACCAGGTGAGAAAAATTTATTCAAGTATAAAAATCCAAAAGCGCCAACCCTGTATTGCATAGAAGCCACTATGACATCACTAGAAGAAGCCATTATATCAGCTTTGTAGAGGTCAAGCGTAGCAGTGCCGCTCATGTAACCACCACCATAAATCCAGACAAGTATTGGTACTTTCGGCCTTTCCGTTAGCGGCTTGTCTTGATGATGGCGTACCCGTAAATGTTGTGGTACCCATATGTTGAGATATAAACAGTCCTCTGATATATTTGTGTTAGGATTCCACATTTCCTCGCCCTCGAATCCTGGGAAATATTCGTATCTCTCTTGATAGCAACTGTTGGGCATGGCCGTTGCTTCCAGAACTCCATGCCAGGGATCAATAGGCACCGGTTTACGGAATCTCAAAGGACCCAGTGGTGGTTTCGCGAATGGTATACCAGTAAATATATGCACTTCGCGACCCATAACAGTTTTGGCGTAACCTTTTACTAAACCACTCTTAGTTTCAACGATGAGCGGGTCATTATGAAAGTTCTTTGGGGGTGCACTGGTTGTAGGCGTAGTCTGAGTTGTCGAGGTGGTTGTGTCGTGGTGGTTTGCCCACGACCTGCTCCAGGCGCCCGACACAAACAACAGCAATAGTAACTTTGTGTACACGATTTTATCGTGGCCACTCATATTGAAAAACTATATCTCGGAGTGACAATTTAATGATAGAAAAGAGAATTTAATCTAAAGTAGTCTGCGAGCTTAATCAGTAGTTGTTTCAAACACATTTCTTTTTCCCTGTATTTTTACTGCTGATGATTTTCTGAAACAAGCGAAATTTGAATATTAGCTCATTTGAATCATTTACATACGTTTGATGGCGGTGAGACGAATCGATCACGATCAGTCGGAAGCGAAGCGCTTCTGTATTACAAATTGCATTTTCAAATTTCATTCCTCTTAATATTCCTCTTAAATATAAAAACCATAATGGAAAAAAATAAGTACGTAATATAAATGCTCAGATCATAGATAATAAAGAAAAATTATAGCTGCAACATGTTTATCAAATAAAATTGAATACATGCATTTAAAAGGTGCAATTTATTTCTTGAGAGCAGCGCTACTTTTGATAGCGTCATAAAATTGGTCAAATGATATTTCCTGAACCCAGAAATAATTGAAATTGGCTTATAAGTACTAAAAGATTTAGTTTCCTTTTTACGGAAGACAATTTTATCTTTATTGGATCTGGACTTATTTCTCATTGTGGAAATGTCAAAGAATACTTTTACTGCTTCGAAATACGATACTACAATTTTTACTATTATATTCTTTATTTATTCACCGTCTTTTGTTTCTATATTAAGAAAAATGAAATTATGAAAATAAAAATATCATAAAGAGTTTCATGTTTCGACGTTTTAGTAACGTTTTTTCTACTTCTAATTCTTTGCTTTTAGGATGCAGACATGCACTAAGAAGGGAAAATAAAAACTTTATTGAAAAATAACGTCAACTACATTTAACTGTAACATTTTAATCAACATTGATGGTAATTTTAGATTAAGTTCAACGATAGAGTTTAAAGTAACAAAGCCGAAGTGCATCGACTTCGTTCAATCAATCACAATGAAGTAGTCCAGCCTTAATGAGTTTGTTTAAAACTTGGATATACACGTGGTCTAAATATTTTTTTTTTAAATATAACTTCAAGTACTTTTTAACTTAGGTTAAGGTTTTTTGGACGATTCAAATTTGTGCGAAGGGTTTTTTTGGGACTTTATTTTTCAATATATGTTTTGTACAATATTAAGGGCAGATCGTTTTTGTCCTAAAAGTTCGAGGGTCGAATCCCGGCATTTGACCGAAGGCAATCGTTATTTCATCGACAGACGTTATCGTCCGCCGGGGACACATAACATTGTTTTCGAGCTTACAGCTTACGAGTGGAGGCGAATAAATATTGAATTAAGGTTCTGCGCGAAACACGTAAAGGTGTACATGGTCTGAATGTGAAATGTGTGTTCGACAACTTTTGCATTGCAACCAAAGGTAAGTGAAAGATGAACGTCTACAAATTTCCATTTAATCAGTATCTTCAAATGTTAAACATGTATATTTACATGTTATAAATATGGGAAATTGACGACTATCAAAGATAATACACTACCTCTCCTAAACCCTTCAAAATTCACTTCTCCAACTACATAGTATTTTATAATAATAAAAAATAATATTTTTAAGATGTATTGTGAAAATAAATTTTAAAAACCTAAGTATTTCTATTATTATATTATATTAGAATGCTTTTAAATTATTAGATAAAAAAAATATGTTTTCTAATCATATAAAAGCATCATTTTTGAGCGTTATTGAATTTTCTCCAGAGTTTTAAGAGGGGATTATTTTTTAGAATACATCTTGATTTTAAAATATTTGATTTCTTTATTTTAAAATATATTTTTGGAGCTGCAAAAAGAGCATTTTTTGTAATCTTAGAACACCACTACAGTGACATATTACATTAAATCGTAAAAACATAAAACACATAATGCAAACATAGTTATTCGTCTCAAGCTCGTTAAAAGTAATTACAAACAGGGAACTATCCGAAGAGCTATTATAATATTTAAAGATTAAATGTATTCGGAGCATGTTCGGAATAGTAAAGCATATCAAAGCACCGTTTGGCGGGATCGACGGCGAGATCCCTCGAGAGCAGACTTCGTTGCAAATTAACTTAAGGTCGCTCTGTATGCAGACTGTCGTGCCGTCTAACGATGTCCCAGACCCTACGGAACTCACACCGCTACCAACTTTACGAAATAGTCTCCTAACAAATTTATACATAGCGAGCATGTGGATGTTGTGTTCGCTGTACTCTTGAGCCCGCTACTATGTTCTTAATTAGAATTTTGATTATTAAAGTCCGCTTTGACGGTAGTCTGATGATCTAAAGACGGTATGGTACAAGTTATGTGAATATATTCGCTCTATTACTTAGTTTTAAATTACACATAAATTATAGAACATGATGGGGATAGCTTAAATAGTTATTTTGTGAGTTTCCATTGACAAAAAATCTGTATAAAATATATAATCGCTCTATTCTATAAAAAAAAAGTTAACAGTATAACTTTGTGCTGGACTTCCAACTGAAATATTAATTGAATTCTACACTAACCGTTGGTTTTAGACACCAAAATCTCTATACAAAACTTATCATATTCTATGTCATTATCTTTGAAAAAAAAAAACAGAGATAAGAGTATAATTTAAACGGGGATTTAGGTCTCAGAAACTCAAGGTAAGATGCTTAAAATTGTTGGACTTATCAGTAGTATTGTAAGAAAAATGGTCTATGTACTATTTAATATGTATTAAACTTTGAAGCAATCTTTACTAGAAAGCTATATAACGCAGAAGTGCACATTTCTTCGTCGGGATCGATCAAAGACTAAACTGTCACGACCTTATTACTATACTGGGTGATTTAAGATAACCGACATATTACTAGTAATTCAAAAGCAATCAACGTAATACATGGAGTGCCCGTAATACTGCTATAAGATACGATCAAATAATATATTTGACTGTCTTACCGTGAGGTTCTGAGACCAAAATATATGTATAAAACATAACGTCATCTCTGTCATTATTTTTAACAAAATAGAGATAACAGTATTTTTTAAACGGAGTTGTAGGTCTCAGAAACTCGCGGAAAGCAAATTTAAATTCCCCAATTGTGGTTCTACCTTTTCTTTGACATTATTACTTGGACTATGAAACTGGTACATTATCTCTTGATATCTACTCTGTATCTTTCCTAACAATATTATGCTAATTACATTTACATCATGAAGTAATGTCAGTGTTTAATCATGGCCAATTCAAAGTTAGTCTATTTTGAAGATCGCATAAGTTTCAAATGCCAGAATAACTAAATGTAGTATTGTGAAGTTTAAATAACGATAGGTTATCGAACATCAGTCGTATCGAACCGGGCCATTAGAGAGGTTACCAATCAATCATATGTTTCGTATATATTTTGAAAACAAATGTTATTTCAAAGTTATTTGAAATAAATTGTTCTAACTTTTATTTATTCAACACTTTAATAATTAGCGATAGATAGTTGATTAGGCAAGTAGATAGGATTGCTTATGTATATCTAAATATCTGACATATAGTCTGCATTAGCTTATGAACGAGTGATCCGCTCGACCAGTGCAATCTCATGACCGCACAAGAGACGCGTGAAGTAGAAGTAATTCCACATTTCGTCCGATGTAGACGTATGCCAGAGACTGAGGCGGGTACTTATGAGTAGGTAAATAATATCTTCCTGTACAACCCCTCCTCTGTCCGTGTCAGGTACAGTCAGCGTCATATAGATCGTCACAGACAAGATATACAAATATATAGGTACACCAAAAGTATTCAATTATATCGGTACAACAAAAGTCCTCAAAATAATAGATACATTCACCCTGCTCAAATACATCGGTACATACACAGCGTCAAATATATGAGTACATGCAAGATGCTCATAAATATCGTAGCAGCCACAGCGTCATAAGTAACGAAGCAGTCAAGGTGCGCAAAAATATCGGTACATTTGACAAAATTGAACTCTATCTCTATATACTTGTGATACAATTTGGAATAAACTACTTCTGTTACATTCATTTGACACTTTGTATTAACATTATAGGTTGTCCGGAAAGTTCGTTCTGATTTTCGATATAAAGCTTACAATAGACTGTAGCTGACGTGGATTCATTTTCGGATTTCCACCATTATCAAACGTCACAAAAATGTCTATATTGTGAATCATTTCATTTCATTGGTTGAGATAAAAACTAATTTTTAAAATTTTAGCCAAAAATAAAAGACGTTTTAGGTATAGAGTCGTACCAATATAATTTAAAAACATTTCCGAAAATTT